GAAATTTACTGTTTTTCAACGCAGAATAAATTCCCGGACAACACCTTGAAGTGTCTTTTTTTAAAACCGGTTTAATATTTGCAGTTAAATGTACACCATCAAATAGGAAATTTTATAGACAGAGGTATAGATTCAGTGCCGCGTGAGCGCAATTCTCGCACAACCTTCACTTTTCCGATCTTAGGAAAATGTTCGTTAGAAAAAAACTCGGCATCCAGAGGGTTAATTCTTTTTACAGGCCGCCGTGACAAAGCTGGAATATTGCTAACTGCGGCGTTAAACAACATTCACTCACTTATCCTTTATGTGCCGTTGGCGGTAAACTGGGCGGGTGTAATATTAAAAAGCCATGTTAGTTTTAGATACGTAGGTGTTAAATGTAAGTTGCTCAGGGCTGAGCATGTGTAACACAAACTGTTTAAGGTGGGTGTTGTTTCTTTGAAATATGTAATGTCAGAATGAATACAAAAATAACCTTTTTGTTCGTCAATAAAAATCGTGACTCAAAAGAAGAAACCTAATTGCAATCTTTATGTAATCTGTGTGTACAGCCGAAGACGCTTCCCACACTAGTCCTAAAATACTTCTTTATCATACTGCAATACGTATGCTGTGAAAATTGGCATAGATAAGATTGCATTACGTTAATGATATGTTTCAATTACATCATACAAAATGGGCCCTTTCTTGTTGCTTTCTAGTAAGGCTTTTTTCTTAAATATTTTTTCTAGGGATTTAGTCCAAAACCGTGGGATTGGTGATTGCCACCATCATTGGATCCAGAACTGTCTCCTCAAGAATACCAGATTCTAGTTCAATTTTTACTGCTGAGGCCAAAGCTATCTTTACAGTTTTGACCTATATTAAACATCAAAACCAATCTAAAAATGTCATCATCTTCACCGATTCATTGTCATGCCTTCAGGCACTTAAAAGTGTCTCCTCAAATCATCCTATAATCCTTGACATTTTAGAACTTTTCAATGATCTTTCTACTGGCCAATGCGACATCGTCTTTTGCTGGTTACCAAGTCATGTAGGCATAACAGGTAACTCAAAAGCCAATGCTGCAGCTAAAGGAGCTCTTGACAAACCGTTATCTCCATTACTTATCCCGTACAGCGATTTCAAACCAACTATTAAAAGTTATACACGGGATCTCATGCAAAAGAGGTGGGACACCCAGGTAGGAAGCAATTAACTTCACGAATTAAAACAAACAATCGTTCAAACCTACTTGGGTTGTCAGTCAAGACATGGCGAGGTCGTTTTACAACGATGTCGTATTGGCCACAGTCGGTTTACACACGAATATCTGCTTAAGACTGTGTGCACTTTGCAGAGGTACTGAAAGTCCCCATGATCCCCAGCGAGCTGGCCTAGCTTTGGTTACTGGTGCCCTATAGCCCGTGTTTTAAAACTGTATATATAATATTGTCATGCTAAAGGTTTATAGTTTAAGTTTCCCCACGTTTGTGAAAGTTTTGGTCTTCAAAATTAACCAACGATTGCAAAAACCGCTCAACGGCAACGGCAACGACAACGGCAACGGCAGCCAATTCCTGAAACTTGTTAAATCACAGACCACTAAAGTGTTTTTGGATATTTGAAAACGGGTGGTAGTCACTAGGGGCCAGATCTGGAGAATAAGGTGGATGGGGTAGAAGCCTTTATCATACCGCCATGTCAGAATGATGAGATCTGATTGGTCTACGTGATATTCATAAAATACTGCGTAACCCGCTTTGGAGGGTAATACATTTCTCAGCGGGGGAATAAATCTCTTATAACCCTCCACGAGCAATATAGGCTGCACGTGGATTTCTTAGAGACGGAATACATCCCGCTTCAAAGCAAAAATCCGCACGCTTTTTCCGAGTCAATGGAAGTCACGTGACATCGCAAAAGTTAACCGCAGCTCAATCGAACAGCTGTTTTATCAATTTTGAATCTGTGTTAATTCTTTAACAATGTCACATTAAAACATGTCGGTAAGATAAATTCGTTGTAGCAGGATCACTTGGAGTATATGGGGTTTTATGCATAAAACCCCTTGTACCCCTCGTGATCCTGCTACAACCGGTGTATCAATATTCCCGTACAGCAGCCATTGCAACATGACAGCATGCCTGGTGTGAACTGCAGCATTGTCCTCATGACGGAGAACACCACGTCCAAGTTTGCCGAGACTCCTGGCTTTGAAACTCGCGTACGCCTTTCAAAGAGTTGGCATACTATTCAACATTCATGGTTATTCCCCAAGGTAAATAACTGATGTGTATTACCCGTGAAGATCCGGGGTAGAATAGGTCTTCAGCAACCAATGCTTGCCGTAAAAGGCGACTATGCTTGTCGTAAGATACGACTAACGGGATGGGGTGGTCAGGCTCGCTGACTTCGTTGATGCATGTCATCGTATCCCAATTGCTCATGATGTCAATCACTGGATTGTCTGATCCAGACTCGATTATTTACAGACCGCCGTCATGTAGCTGGAATATTGCTGAGTGCGGCGTTAAACAACAAAACAACCAACTTTCTGTCCCAAAAGCAGGTGGCCATAACTTTCTTAGTGGATCTGCTTTAAACTTCTTGGATTTGGGAGACCTGACTGTTTCCACTAAATGTATTCTTGTTTACTCTCGGGATCCTAGAGATGGATTCAGATCACTAACCTAATCTTGTGGGATGCGATAATATCTGGTTAACAGGGAATTTGAGGCGGGTAGCCTTCAAATATCCGGTAGCATTCTTTGAACCAATCGCACACAAAACCTTTGACCGTCGTGGATTATTGCTGAGTGCAGCGTTAACCAACAGAGAAACAAACCTTTGACATCTGTAGATGTTGATGAAAGGTTGTTTCTTATTGGCCCATGGGAAAGCCTGTGATCTCTTCTAACTCGTAGTGTAATGCGTCATTACCAGGTTGTCGACGGCATCATTGCTTTCTTTTGTGGTGTTGGGTCGACCAGTGTGGTGTCATCCAACGTTTAGTTGTGGCATATGATAGGGCAGCCTCCCCACAAACAGCATGCATCCCTTCATCGGTATTTTTTAGCGACTGACCCCCTAGTTTGAAAACTTTCGTGTCTGCTCTATACTCAGTTTTACCACTGTGGTGCCAAGGAGTAGGGTACCTCCGAGTCGAATTCAATTATCAGCACGCCACTTGACTGGAGCAGGTCAAATTGTGAAAGATGGCTCACCAAGCACAGGTCAATACTGATAAGTGTAACATGCAAGCATAACAACAACCTAGATATGAAAGCCTGAAACCTTTTGATAATACCTTGTACGTGACTAGCATGAGACATGAGAAACTCGATCTGGAGTAGGATATGCACGCACCTGTTCACAAAAGCCGTGTGTCAAAAATGATGAAAGTATACAAATACCAATATACGAATATTCATAATACAATACCTTTTAGATTGCAGAGTAAATTGTCACAAATATCAAGGCTGGTGCCATTTGTTCTGAAACACGCTTATTAAACATTTGATAAAAATCACGATTCTTTGTTGACAATACGCTCTGTATAATAATAATAAATAATAAGTGCATTTATAATACGCGAGAGACTCCATTCACCAAGTGGATGTTCATAGCGCTACACTATTATTACCCCGGTCAATGGATCAGTAAGCACTCGATTTTCATTCTCAGCTCCCTTGGGAGTATACAACCCAAGCTGCCTGTGAGGCGCTAGAAGGTTAGCAGCCACATTACCATCTCATCCCTCATCTCAGGGTACCCACTCACTGCTGGGTGAACAGAGGCACATTTCGAACAAAGTCACTTGCTTAAGGAGATACCACATGTGGTACATGTGCTTCAGTGAGGGGCAGGACCGAAGCCCTAGAAACTCTCAGGAGTCAAGCTGCTGAACGTGGTCACCCATCCAACTACTCTCCGAAACCAACGGTGCTTAACTTCACCTGATTTGGGATCTGTGATCTGTGCGCTGTACTCTGTGCATAGGACCACGTGCCACTACTGTATCGCGATTCTTTGTTCACAATACGATATGTATCGCGATTCTTTGTTGATAATACGGTATATGGCGATACTTTGTCCACGATATACTATTTCTGATAAACGTTTACATGTCAAATTATTTGAATTCCCAAAGCACCTTGACAAATATATGTTCAGATGAAACGATTGTTACAAATGAAAACGCTGAAAAGTGCGTCAAAATAACTACAAATGGTTGAAAGGCTAATTTTAGCATATATCAGCAACACAATACAGAATTAATCATATCGTGTGTCAAAGTGGATATCACGGTGCCCGTGAATCGATCCAGTCTCACTACACAGAGGTTTATGGGACATAAGTGACTTTGAAACAGTTTGTTGCTGCTAATGTAGATGTTGTCCCGGGCGTTCTGACAGAAGAGTGGGTATTGCATGACCTCTGACTAAAGTTTGATGGAAGCATGTATCTGGTAGCCGTTCCTCCTTACAAAACCTCATTATGCGTTGACAGAGTGGAGCTCTTTAACAGGTAAAGGAATGCTTCACTCTCCAGCCGAGCGCATGATCTCTTTCAAACGTGTTCCCAGATTGCTCTACGTTACCGGTAAAAAGTCTCTTTCTAGTTACTGGTGTGCATACACAAATAGTGAAGGTTACCCAAAGTCAAGAGACTTTGTTGAAGATTTATTGGCATACGTGTATTCCGTCTTTTTGTTTGACGTCTGTTCCTAAATTGTCATTGTTATTCATTTTTTATATAAATGGCAACAATGGCACTTAACATGTGTTACCATCTGCTTGGTGGAGCGCGAAGTGTATGTGAATATCTAACCATTCACATTTTAATGTGGGACAGTCAGGAATATCAATTATAGTAGGTTTAGAGTACATATCGATCGCAACATGTGATGGTATATGCCATTTAATATTGCAAAATACCACGTGTCAGAAAATCTTTTGATGTGTATCATGTCGTATGATTTCTGTTATGAGTAAAATATTTGTTTTTCTTGTCAGGTACCCGACCCCGTGCGATGCATCGTTCCGAGCAACACCGCTGTCGATGGTGTTGACGTAGTGTGACGTAGCGGCCATGATGGCGGACCCATCACATGGCTCCCCTCAACACAAGGCCTACAGTAACATGAGGTTTGGTCCCGGCCACAAGACGGGCCATTTTCCAGCATACGATATGAGAGTCGACGGAGGCACGGCTGTACGGAATACTGTCAAGAACATGGTCAGCAATCTAGAAAATGTCATCACAAATCTGCACGGCATTGTGGGAGATTTACGAGTGCTCGTCCATCAGATTGATGTGGTGACCAACAAGATTGATGGGAAGTACGGTGTTTATTGGGAGAAATCCGGTTTGAACCATGTCAGTAATACCCAAGAGAAGGTATCTAAGGCAAAGGACATGGATTCCTTTGGTGTATGTAGATGGAAAATGTTGCGAGAAAAATACGATTCCACAGAATTCTCTCCTGATATTGATTGGTCGTATTTAGGATTAGGTGAGTGCAATAAAAATCCTGACACGAAAGGCGTAGTAGGCAGGAAACTTCATTCCAAGAAACTCCGACGAGTCAAACATTTGGACACATCTGTGGACTCGTCCGGAGTGAGCACCGACTGTGACCTTGACAACGAAGATTTCCGGTTACAATTTGGAAGTGATTTAGGATTGTTCAAATCCCCTCATGGAAAATTTGATCTCCAAGGTGAAATTAATTTTGATTGTTTGGAAATGGATGGCCATTCCAGTGACCTGGACTGTGACGTGAAGGCAAGAGCAAAGTCGAGGAACATTTCTCTACCCGCGCCCGTGCCCCAGCACACCTACTGCAAGGATGTCACCGGTGGCTGCTCGAAGGAAACATACTGCGGAATGTATGAATCACTGATGGAATCCAAATTAGAAACTTTATCCAACTGTGACGCAAACAGCGATTTTTCGGAGGAACTAGAAGACGATTTACCGCCTGTAGTAGACGATGTACCTTCTGTGAAGTCCTTAGACTTTGAGGCGGAGTACAACCGCCATGTCAATCCTTGGACATCTTTCGGTTTGGTGCACATCGACTCCACACAAGAGTCTGATGAGGTGCTGTCTGAAAGCGCATCAGACATTCTCAACGACAACTACATAGAAACCAGCTATATCAATCCAGGCTTCGATGACGTTCAACCACTGGTGCAACAGACTATATGTTAGTTAACACGTATGTTTTTTAGTCCATGGAATTAGGTTACTGTTGTTACCTTTCTGCGGAGGTCTTTTTGGTGCAAGTCATTTATTAATACTTTTCACATGTCTTGATTGTTTCACATTTTCTTCATGTACATGCATTGATTGGTAACTCTCGAAAGAATGGTATGACGAATGGAGGCAATGCATGGACTCCTTGAATAAATCTTAAACGTTTTGACTTTTACTACTTTTTTAGGATTTGATTCTGAAATATTAAACGTCAACGCCAGAGAAACAGTCTCGTTTATCGAAACGGATTCCATTGGACGCAAAAAGGCAAAGTAACTGTGGAAATTATATGAATGGGTCACTGAAAATCAGTGATGACACCAGGTGTTTGCGAAAAAGGTAAGCGTGTTTTCCTGCCCTACTGGTAGAACCGGCCGTGCTTTTCTACAAATTCAGATGTGCACATTTTATTTCTGTATCCCTACACGCTATCACGCATAGTGTAGAGCGTCTCGTCTTGGATGAGATATGAGTGACTGGGCTAACGAACACAACTTGAAACATTATTTCTGTTACATCACGGCGTGTCAGCGTCGTGTGGGAGAAAACCCAAAAGCCATGCTGGTCTCAGACGTTTACCACTTGGGTGAAACATCACGCATATATGATGCTGACAAACCTAGACATATAATCATAGGCTTGCCACAGCGATCTTAGCGCTACGGCTACCCAAGCCTGTGTTAAAGTATGGGAGTTATTATCATCTTAAGATTGCTTTGAGGAACGGGGCCCAGTTGCGTCTAAGGGACGCAACTCTGTACAGTGATCTGGTCCCCGGGATGCGATATGAAGGCGTTCTTTCCTGGTCATACACTTCACTATAACGTCTGCAGGTATGAGGTAGATATATGATTACCATATCTATACAAGGTGACTCGTTTCCGATAAGGTAAAAGATAAGATAAAACATTTTAGCTATTTCTTGTACCGTTAGATTATCTTGACATGCAAGTCACACGTTTAATGTTCAACCTTTTCCGTCTTATGAGATTGTGTGGAGCGTGTATATTTTAAGGATGCTTCTTTCTATTTGCATTGTGGTGACGTCAGAATAGCCTGTGCCACACAATGTTGGTAAAACATCACTTTCAAGATTATTTCACTGATATTGCGACGCGCAGTACGTCTTTATGTGTGTGTGCGTGCGTGTGTTGATGCATGCGTGCTTGTCTCTACTTGCCCACTGATATAACATGGCAGTCTGAAAGAGCCGACACTCGTTGTTTCATCCCTTTAATGCTGAGAGCCAGGCAGGGTAACAGCAAGTGCCATCTTTTACTGTCTTTTGGTATGAATCAAACCATTGACCTTTCACTCTTTGTCAGACGTTTTATCCACAAGAACATGGAAGCAGATGTTGTTAATGGGGGTCTGCTCTTACAACTGAATATACTTTGGAACGGAACAATTTAGTACACAGCGAGCCCTTTTTAATATGGACGATTTTATGGCATATCATTTTCCTGGTCAACAAATCATGAGCGTGGAGTAATGAGCATGGAATATGTTTGGATGTTTCTAACATTGACTGTCGGGAAATTGGGTTACTGGACCCACAGGGTCCTAAATAAGTGGATTTTCACTATATCCAGGGTGAGAGGGGTCCCTTTGGTACATATCTAAACAAAACTGGAGATATTAACTTTAATATTTCCAGTTTGGGAATGTCTCATGGAAGTTCTGGTCTTGTAAAAAGTTTGTCACCAATATATGAATCATAAAAGAACAAATGTGAGCAAGAAAATATTTTATTATGGACATCGCAGTTACTCGCCAGTCACACACACAACCCTAAACCAATATACAAGGACACTGCATGGTTCTGTGTCAATAAATAGCCTCAGCCTGTATGATGGTGGTCTTCACACACACTAAACTAGCCATGTGATACCCTACATCTATTCTTGGTTCATATGAACGTACACAACATTTGACATTAGATCATATAGGTACATATTTCTTGTATTGTGCTGTAAGCCTTTTACAAAGCAAAAGCGCATCATGGTCCTAAATATCTTTCCTTAACCTTAAGATACTACTCATCTGATAGACGAAAGAACAGGTAATTATTAATTTGTCATAACCAAACTGGCATGAACATTGGTCAACGTGGACTAGTCTATTCACACACCTATCAAATAGTGTACCAATGACATCAATCTTAAACATCTAAGTATATAATGAAGTCAGCAGGTTTCAAACAGCACCATCAACATGGACAACATTGCAACTCAAGTTACCTAATCAACTCTTATACATAATTGGTTCAGATGGATTTTCATAGAAGACCCTACAATACAACACCAATAAGACAAGTCTGTCTCACAGTCCCTGAACCATAATATGTTTCCTTCCGCCCACCCCTTACTTAATTCCCATAATCCTGAATGCAGCAGATTCAGATTTTCCACAGGTTTAGAATCTAATCTCACTGGATCTCCCTTTCTATTTAGATAGAGTTGTATGTTTGTAGTCCAATAAAATAAAATAAATTAAATAGGCATCTAAAAGATTCAATGACTAAAATTACATTGTTAAAGACTCATTATGTATATGTTTTTAACCTGATATAGCCATGCTATTTGATTAAGATTCCTTTGCATATTTCATATTTCAAACATAAAATCTACAGTTGAAAAATGAAATGTTCCTATTTCCCATGACAGAATTCAGTGAGTGAGTGAGTTGTGTTTAACACCGCTTTTTAACAGTATTCCAGTTATATCGCGGCGTGTCAGCTTAATGTGGGAGGAAAGCCCAAAGTGATGTAGGTCTCAGACGTTTTCAACTTCGGTGAAACCCACGAGCACGGGTATGGTGCTGACAAACCTAGCAACATAGTTGGGGCGAACCGGGATTCGAACCCACAATCATAGGTTTCTGGCGTGCCTAAGGGACGCAACTCTGCACAGCGAATTGCGGCGCCTTAGACGACTGGGCCATCTGTGCCCCCTGACAGAATTGAATGACAGTATAGTGTGATATATCTGATACATGTTCACTCACTACAAGCATACAATAATTAAGTAACTATATCCACATGTCACAGCACCCATGTATGTCCATCTCATTATCTACAGGAGATCACAGCATTCAAAGCATTTACCTTGAAGGGTACTGCCACAAAAGTGAAGACTGTAAGCTATTGATAAATACAATCATTCACCTTTATGAAGACAATACAACATTCATCCTACACCAATTTAAGGCACATGGGGTAGATGTACCTACTGCCACCACATACATCATCACTTGTTCACAAATGCAATATTTCTGAAATCATTTAATCTTCAGATAATTTTAACAGGCATAAACATGTTAAATGGGGAGTAGGCATAGACACAAGTCCAACAAACATGACTTGTTAATGAACGCAGTAGTTAATGATTCCTGTAATTACATGGAGACAATGTCTCAAGTGTCACACAGGCCAAAAGCTACCATGTCTACACCTAGACTGACACCTGTCCATGGAGTGTAGTCCCTCTTTCATGCTTTGAAATGTTCAATGTTCAAGATCAATGTGTTTGTACTAAATCTCATGAAAAATGTGAAGTGATAACACAAACACTTGACTGCTGTACTCTATTAACAAAACAAAAGTTACATCCAAACATGATTCAAATTCATTCAAATATTTACAGACTGACTTCTATAGCTAAATACCTAAAATAATTGTCTTGGTTCTCAGGCACCACCTGCATCATCATAAAGTCTGCCTCACGTTTCGTTTTAATTTCCATTTTAAAAAACAAACAAACTTTAAATACTCGCATCTTGAACACACGACCCCGGCAGTGAAATGCTACAATACTTAAGAACAACATGATTTCGCCAATATTATTGTAAACAAAATTTGGTGACATACTAGCTTTAACACCCCCCCAAAAAAACACCGGACCGCACTATATTTTCAAAAGCCATTGCCTGAGAACCAATTCTTTTAGTTTTGTAAGCCTAACCTTAACATGGCACATGGGGGTAGACACCACTGTCACATACAGACTGTCTTGGAATTGTAGTTTTAGATTTTGATAGAAAACTACTAGCCCTCTTGATTTTCCCTAGTTCGGACTAACAGACAACTGGCTGTGTCTAACCCTGGCTTATCAGTAATATTTCAACTAGAACTGTAATTGAATTACAAGCTACCTGCTGAAAGCTGAAGCAGTGTGCTACACACGACAAACTGTCATATTTTCTTTGTTAAAACGCAGAAACAAACTTCCTCCCATTAGTGGAGGGATCCTACTCTAAGAGTGTCGTCATCACACTGAGGGTTCCTTTAAGTAAGTGAACATATGTTATTGTGTTTGCAGTGCAACACACATCTACATGTCAAAATAGAAACAACAATTTAAACTGCTTGCGAGCAGCATCATACATTTTACAGTAGAGCAGTGTGCAGGTGCCCTGTCGGATTATACATGCACATGGGTGTATACACTTACATAAAAATTACTCATAAACACACAAAAAGTATGAGAATACTTTACATGAACCTAAAACATACAGAAATATTAACCATTGTGCTTTTTGCCACAAATACATCATATTTTCAAATTAGACAAAAAGGTTTATCACAAACAAATGATTTCAATTATTGGACATAAGTGAAGTTTAGAAATAAAAAAAATTAAAAGGAGGGCATATTGTTAATATCATGCAACCAGCAAGTTCTTGCAAAAGAAATCCATAAACTAAAATGTATGCAACTACAAGCCTTGTCTAGAACCCATCAACACTAATTCTGGTCAAAATATCACATTTAAAATGGAGTTCAACAAAAACAACCAACAACTGACCACAGAAAACCTCCGGAAGTTGATGACATATCAAGGACAGCCCATAGCAAGTGCTCATACAATGATAAGAACAGGTTCACTGTCTATTCATACTCAAGACCATGACCAAATGATGACTTGGATACGAGTACTAAAACACAGATAATTCTGTTTTAAGTTCCAACATGTGAAAATAAAAACAAGTTACATGACCACCTGTATCAAACTTTCGTTTGTTTGTTGTTTAACGCCGCACTCAGCACTATTTCCTGAATCAAAGTTACACACTCCAAATCCCCCAAACATGGTTAATGAACCTGAAGTTTGAGATCAAAGATGGATAACATAGTACGGTATGGTGTTGGTAGGGTGCTGGCAGACTAAGAATTTGGAATTCAAACCCACAATCAGCACATCCTGGCAGCAAAGGGGTAGGCTGGCTGCACTTTACAGAACTGGGCTGTCCATGCTCCCTGTCACCTGGTGAAGTGGTTGGGGCTAATCAAGTTTTCAATTGGCTAAAATTTAACAGGAGTCAACTGTATAGTAAAATTCAACTTGATATCAGATAACTGGGAAGTGAAATGAATCACATAATTTGTAATACTAAAACCATGCATCCTTAAAGCCCTACCGATTTTTTAAATCTGCAGTTTCATGGAACAATTTAACCCACATCATCTTTACCATAGGTGGGTCCTAGTGCTACGACTATCATAGATCTATGTTAAAGTTACGACAGTATGGCCTCTGGGCACCTTGCTACAAAGCTTCCTTGATGGTGTCATACTTCACTAGAAGTAACTTCAGTCAGAAAAAGAAGAGAGTGGTGTTTGCAATAATCCGACAAATTCTTCACAGTTCCTGCTTGGGCTTGACCGCACACAACTCAACACGTCCGAGCATGCTGTGGAACTTCCCTTCCACATGGGAGACTGAAACAGCAACAGAGTGGGGGAGTTTGAGTGAATATGGGTTATTCATGAGATAAACATTATATGCTACTGAGTATTTGCTGCCCGGAAATGTCACTTGTAACTGGTGGAATAAGCCGGGACTAATGATAGTGGACATTGTGAATAGTTCATGGCTTTCCGAGTTAGGCTGGCTGGTAGCCAAACAATCAGTGTACATGGGCATAGGTTGAATGGGGCTTTTGTTTGTTTGTTTGTTTGTTGTTTAACGTCACATTCAGCAATATTCCAGCTATATGACAGCAGTCTGTAAATTGTTAAGTCTGGACCAGACAATCCAGTGATTGATATCATGAGCATCCATCTCTGAATGGGATACAATGACATGCATTAACGAAGTCAGCATGAGTCCAGCATAGTCGCCTGTTACGGCAAGCATGGGTTGCTGAAGACCTATTCTAACCTGAATGTTCACAGGTAAGTTTGTTATTGAACACATGAACAATTGTTTCCACTGTTTTCGGATAATAATCTGGTTCATCAGAGGTGTTTATTATGTCAAAGCCAACTTCAAAATACACTTGAATGTAGTCTATCATGTTATAATGTAATAATGAAGAAGGATAAAATCAAAAGTGTTTAGATAGTTTGCCGTAATGGGATGTCCTCAGATCTTTGGTTAGCGGAAGCGAGAACTAAGATCTGATTTTAATGAGATTGTAAATTTGGACTCATCGCAGCCCACTAAATAGTAACTTTAGTATCCAGCAAACAATCCTTTTCACCTTGGTATTGGACTTACCTGAGCTAGAAGACTCATCCATTATATACTCTTCTGGTTTTAGAAGGGCTTGATCTGGACCCTGTCAGACATAAGATAGTAGTAGAGGATCCAGTTAGATATGATGACATATTAATAGCGGACACTGTCAAACCTACTACCGGTAACATCAGGGCTGGCTATAGATACAGATCATAGCGATCAATAATTGTTAACTAAATATCGATCAATTATCGATAAATATCAGAGAAGTAACTTTGAGTAAATAGTCAAAAACAATTGCAAAAGAAAGCAACATATTTCACTTCGCTGGTGAGTGAGAGGCGGTCAGGTAGCCTACTGGTTAAAGCGTTCGCTCGTCACGCCGAAGACCCAGGTTCGATTCCCGACATTGGTACAATGTGTAAAGCCCATTTCTGGTGTCCCCCGCTGTGATATTGCTGGAATATTGCTAAAAACAGCGTAAAACTATACTCACTCACTCACTGGCACTATTATGCAGGGATTACTTAATGGACATTTAAGATATAACAAAAACAGTTGCTTTCTGTCTTCGACAACTGACATGATTGACAATAACAAGTCTGTTTGGGTAAATCTAAACTTTATTTCATCACAATAGTTAATGAAATTATTATTGATGACACAATTTTCATATTGATAATCATGAATATTTCTTCCCATCAATGATAATTCCGATAATCGATCTTTTTAGCCAGCCCTAACTAACATTTTAATAGATGACCTTGTTTTATAATGGCGAAGTAACAACATCATAATACAAGACAGCTGGCAAACAACCTTAGTGATCCAACAACTACAATGCAAAATATCATGAAACAATCACAGTCACTGAATATAGCTCTCAGTCTCAGGTCCATTTTCATCATAAATCAATAATATCAAACCTTTTGGCTCAAGATCTTACTTGTTTTCAAATCATTAGAATTGTTTTACCTTGACCTCTGCCTCCACAGCTCGAGCTCCATACACCTCCATCCTAAATGACTGGAAAAAGAGATATGAGGAGCTTCCAGGTCTTTCTACAGAACAGGAGAACTTGGTGTTGTCAGCGTTGACACTTAGTCCCATCAGCCACGACTTGAAAACAAAAGACACCACTGTGAACTCTTCATGGGGAAGATCTATTTTGTGTTTAATCTTGCCATGCTTGTCCGCATAGGGTATTTGGGATTTTTACCATGCCTGTGTTTAATGGTATTTTCATTTATGAGAGAATGTTTTTATTTCTGTCAGTGATAATGCATCCATATCACTGATAATTTATATAATAATGGCCTTTAAATCATCAAATATGGACTGGGCAGAGACAATAACCCAAATTATTGGGGTATGATGACACACAATCAGGTCACAAACATCTATATGTAGTTTTTGTAAACAGTCACTTGTAACTATAGAATACCACTTTTGGGACTGTGATGCTGTTAATGCTATTTGGAAAGACATTGAAAACTGACCAAAAGACATTACTTTGACCTTATCGAAGCAAAACATCATTTTGGGAATAAAAGGTAAACAATGCTGTTAATGTTGTAAAGTTACGAGTTAAACACATAATTTACAGATGTAGTAAAAAAGAAGTCTTGTCCCTTTTTTGTACAAATCAAGAAAGAAGTCATCAGGTACAATAATAGCCCAAAATGTATATATTTCTCTATGTGCAAACCTAATTATTTCTACTCTTTGAGTGGAGAGAATGAATATAGACAAAGAAAAGAGAATCATTTGTAGCAATAAATACCTCCTTTGTGCCCCCTTGAGCTTGATATGTAAAGTTACAGGAAAACTTCATGTCTTCCTGAAAAAGAAATATATGGTCTATATAACAGGAATATAGGCAAAACAAATGACTTAAACAAATTACTAATTACTTCATAATATACAATACCGAAACACTGAAAATATCATGTTGATTACCAACGATAATAAACAAGTATTATGATCAGTGATGATGATATTTTCTTATGTTTTCTTTGGCAAATTTGTATCATGATGTGACCGACTTTCGGTTAAAAAATGTCAGGAATGTATAGTTTTGGTCATGTGACACAAGACGAAATGACAAAAAGACTAATATATTCTTATATTGAAACCAGAGAGAACTTCCCACAGAAAGATATTCTCAGCACAACTCATTCGTTTTTTGTTATTATTTTCCTCCTAATATTGGTAAATAAAACAATATATTAAAGAACAACAATCTTTAAAAATTATTGAGAAAGAAACAGGAAATTGTGTTTCAGTTATAAACTGTTACCATGACAAAGAAGATCTTGAATTCAATGTTTTATTCATTGCAAACTAGAGACCATATATCACTGTTATTCAAGCAAACCATGCTAGATAATACAGGTAACACATAATAAGGCCACATAAACATAAATTAGTTTTTGTTTCTGAATTCTTCCCAGACCCGTCATGTTTGACATTAATATAAATATATTTTTCTATATGTTTCTTTTGCATTAAATTTGTCCCGGAGGAAACAGTGCAGTACAGGAAATAATATTCAAAAACACAAAAGTGAATGTCATTCAAACAAATGTGTTAATTATTATATTTCTAAGTATAAGAAGCTGTACCAATCAAACCCATTAAAAAAAGCAATTACTTTTATCACAATAGCAAACTAGGTCTATCACTATAATAACTATAAATATGAATCAACAGCTAGTTATAAATTATGGAACACAGAAATATTATGGTGATGGAATGTCATCAACAACTGGGCTTTACTGGACGCAAAATCCTTCACCATATACTCATAAAACGTACAAATTCACGCAAAACTAGTACAGAGAGCATCCACTGGGATGCAGGAATTTTCATAATTTGGTACCACTAAAAATATGTTTCTGTACGTAATCATATGAAATGTTCAATGCACAGTCAAAAGCTTCACTATCTTCTAGTGCTAACACTTGTAGTTTCAGTTGAAGAATGCCATATCTGTTTTTAACTAACGCCTTCTGACCACGAATAATTTTACATCACTTACAGAGTACAGTCTCTGTATTTATTGTGGTGAAGTGTGTGGTTCAAAGCATGGCACAACAAGATTTGTGAATTTCTTCCGTCGTCCAAGTATGTATTCAATAGCAAACAAACATGAATAAAATTTATATATAATATTGCATATGAAATAAGATAAAAAAAGGCAAGGAATTAGCATGATTAGACCTAAGTTGTTTTATTTGTTATATTCAATATTTGACATTTCTCCATTCCTACAAATAAAGAATCTAAATCTACTGGACCCCACAACTCATGAAATGTAAACTTCCTTCTGTTCCACGAAAAATATTTAATTTACATTTGACGTTTATTAAGATGTTGACATTAGAAGTTGATGAAAAAGCTAGTCAAAGGGGCGTAACTCTGTGTTGTTATGATTTTCCACTGTTGCAACTGCTTGCTCGATCGATTCGGCCGATATTCATTCCATTGATTACTCACAATCAGAGATTTATTTCCACAGTCATGTACTATTACCTACCAAATGCTTTCTCTCTGGTGTAAATGACAAGGATTCCGAATTAGTCTTAATCAGCGTGTCGAGTCGTGAGTCAAAAGACATGGCAAGTCGTACTTTTACTTAGTCAACGCTCGTTTACTTACCCAATCTTTTTTGTAGCTTATTTTCTCTCCACCCGGCATGACATCAAATTCGCTCACTTGGATTTTATCTTCAGTCATATCACATATTGCATTGGCGCTATAAAAACACAGCGTTGCAATGCAACAGAGTAATAAGTCACAATTCATACTCATTTTCCGTCCGTTTCTGTCTGCAATTGGCGATAGAGGTTTTCATATCCTATCAAATGCACCCACGTTTCAGCCAATCAGCTCGCAGATCCAAAGGCGTTTAGGTCAAAGGACACGCACCTGCAACCTTTGACCCTACGTTGAACTGCATATACTATTTACTAACAACATATCTGTTTCAGCTTGTCATAAAGAAATGTTGTAGAACATTGTCTGGTTTCCCCTCCCTTCAGATATAAAAAAGCATGTCTGACAAATTACAACATGTACAATGTTGGATATGAGTGACAGTCAAAACCTTTTAAGAGTTGATCAATACTAATTCCATTTATGGAGTATCACGGAAAGCAAACCATATTTTACAAATAAGATATTTAAATATGAAAGTAAAACAGGCTATTGTTCTCAAACACTTTACAAGCTTAGAACTACACACACACACACACACACACACTCTCTCTCTCTCTCTCTCTCTCTCTCTCTCTCTCGTTATTGTCACAGATGGAGTTGATAAATACTGAAGTATTTTCAAGCATAGGTTAAATTGTAAGTAAGCAAATAATGAAATATGAATAAAAAGTATGTTCATAAATTCATTGTGCACAACAAATAAATACAATCCAAAGAATAACTTAATATAATTGATTATTGATTTTCACTTTGAACTATGTACTAGTATCTAATACTATCTACACATATATGAATTGAACAAGTCTGAAGGGGATAAATAATGAATGGCATATTAACAAATTAAAATTAGTATTCTTGTCATTATTTGCACATTATCAGGTTTTAGGGACTACAGTTATGAAAAAATTGTAAAAGTTAATAATACAATCACCCACTGATGCGAGGAGGATCAACAGCGACATTGAATACACAATGCCATTTAGAAAGAGGTCACATGTAACTAATGTTATATTTGGGATTACACTCTCTCTGTAAATTACGGATTCTAGTACCCGGGTGGGAATTACTAGAACCTGTACTTTCCAAAGAGATTGTAGCCCCAAATATAATATTTGTAATAGTGACATTATCATCATCATCATTATCATTATTATTAATAATACAGTAGAAAACGAATATGCCACTGGCATGGAAGCACCACGCCTTTATTTGTAACGTCTTTGACTTCTAAACAACCTGTGTCGCCTCTTGTAATATCTAATGGCAAATGTTATGAACTGTACAAGTGTAATCACTGACGGGGAAAGACGTGACTTCTCTAGACTGCATATATACACTGTGTGTCCCTTGACAGGAAATTGTGTCATCTGTTCGGAAAATAAAACCACGTACTGCATGTAAACATGAAACCGATCAAGGGAATACTACAATTGTTTCTACTGGTTCTTTAATTGAAGTGAAACAGTATAAATCGGGGAAAATAAGTTTTTAAAGTACATGCGAAATATGAAATACCAACAATATCTACGCATTCGGTCATTTTGTTATTCCCGGACATTTCGGTCATTCAAAAATATGTTGATTATACATAATGACTGACGTAAGAGGTGGTTAGGCTCGCTCACTTGGTTGATACATGTCATCGTATTCCTATGTGTGTAGATCGATGCTCATTGTGTGAATCACTTGATTGTCTGATCCAGACTAAAAAAAGTACAGACCGCCACCATATAGCTGAATGCTGCTAACAAACAAACACATTAAGTGTGTATAAATACATGTTTTTCATGCATGTAAACTTTATATCAGGAATTTAAAATGGCACGCCGACAGAATGCTATGATATTTTTATGAGAAAGTAGTTAGTTGTTACGCAAACCGTATACAAGGTTGTCGGCTCAAAGTGCAGTTGTAAACATGGCTGCTCCCTTGCGGTTCGATGGTCGTGTTGTGCTTGTGACAGGCGCCGGGAATGGTAATTTTTTCTCAGTGTAGCATTAGTGACAGTTGTTGAACTTAGTTTCATTTTACATGTACTTGTCCACTGATTGTCTCTCCTTCACTTTCTAATTTACAATAGTATGTTTTTGTCAATGATACGTAGCTACATCAGCTGATCTTAACTTATAGTTCATAGATTAGAGACCATGTCGATCTCGCCTGCATTAGTAGTCAATATTATTTTATAGCTACATTTTGAGCAATGAAATATATATTGTATGAAAAGTGCATTGAAAATAATTGTAAACAACGCCACCCATAAACATGTCGGCATGAATTTACAACGTTTACAAAAGTGTAAATGTACCAGTCAATTTCACATTTTCACAATCTCAATAAAATGAGATCTACTCGTAGCAGTAGCGGGCAGTAAGATCTATTCTAATGATGTTGACATATTATAAGCCTTTTTTTCTTTAGATCGTTGTAGTTGGAAAGATGAAGATTGAGACCATCACCATGACCACATACTATGGTCATCTTCTGTTCAATTTAATAATAATAATAATAAGTGCTGGTATGTGAATAGCCACACCATCGGGATGTTCCACTACTTCATACCAAGAGTTTTTAGTCAGGCTACCTTAGAATGAAAGATTAACCAAACAAAGATCTTTTGTGGGATAAAATGGGCACAGTGTGACTGATGCACGATGGGGTCGATAAGCAACAGTCCTACCTCTGACCCCTTACACATTTGCATACAGACCCTTTTGCGGTTCAAGTTGTCCCTCTGCCATGCTTGGAAGACAGGACACGAAGTAAAGATACTGCCATTCCCCCCACGGAAACAGTGGACAGAAGAACTTGGGCTCCGGCTGTAGTTAGCAGGCAACCAATGTTACATACCAGCACTAGAATGGTGTTTAACTAAAGCCCCCGTCTGCACCATAGCAAATAGCGGCATGCAAAGTGTATAAAGACATTTTGTGCACACCACTGACATCCACATAGTATATTAAAGTTACGGGTATTTTTATAACATGGAAGGGGGTTGGGACTGGGGAATGAAAACATATGTGCCTCCCCCAAAGTGAAGTTACATACTTACAGTGTTTGCAATAAAAAAAATGCCAGGCTGCCATCAGGACTCACAGACTTTGGAAGCTGCAGGCCCTGACTAAACTCTTCAGGCTCTAATTTAAGAAAAGACAACTGCTGCTTACTTTGACAAATATGTAAATTGACACATAATAGGTTTCCTGCAGGCCATAAGGACCCATACAAATTGGAAACTACAGGCCGGACCAGAGACCTACCTGCCACCGGCCTTTAGGCAGCCATTACTAATCCATCTAACCTGGATACCAGTGAAGATCCGGGGTAGAATAGATCTTCAGCAACCCTAGTCGTAAGAGATGACTAATGGGATCGGGTGGTCAGGCTTGCTGACTTGGTTGATGCATGTCATTGTATCCCAATTGCGTGGATCGATGCTCCTGATGTCAATCACTGGATTGTTTGGTCCAGACTCGATTATTTACAGACTGCCATCATATAGCTGGAATATTGCTGAGTGCGGCATTAAGCAACCAACAGAAAAGTATTTGTTGAAGTACGGGGCCATGGGGACCATATATGTACTGCACAATATTTATGTTAATTTATCTTCAAGTAAAATTCCTGTCAAACACTGTTATTTATGTAGTACTATATTCGGCTACTTTGCTAACTGCTTTTCTGGTATGCTATGCAAACAATTGTCAAGCTAAAACAAACAAAGGCAAAGGCTCAACAAAAGGAAATAATACCTACCGTAAAATAAATTTATAGCCGATTTATATCGCTGGCCCACTGAGATACCTTGCTGCAGTTTAACATGACTACCGCACTCAGACACAGTTTACTGACTCCGAGCTGACCAGTCCTTGTATTAGCCCCTTAATGCTGAGCACCAGACAGGGTGACAACAAGTACCATCTTTTAATCTTTTGGCATGACGTGGCCAGGGATCTAACCCCGGACCTTCGCTCTCCGGGTCGATACTCTACCACTAGACCACAGAGGTGTTGTAGAGGGGTAGAGGAAGACATGGCCTCTGTTGCATGAAGCAGTGGATGGGTGGATTTTAGTTTTCAGCAAAATATGGGATGAATTTCCAGAGAGATGCAGGTCATAGGTGTGTACCACCTTGCGAAACCTAGAAACAACAGTGCTGTGGCACCAAGAATCATATTCTGACTAAATCTGGGATTTAAACCTAAAATAGCTGATCCTGGCATAACTGCAATTCCACACAGAAAGTCCAGGGCCCCTTTCCACAAAACGGTCTTAGCGCTATGATGACCTTAAGACTATGGTAAAGTATGGGAGTTACGATCACCTTAGTGCTAAGATCCCTTTGTGGAACAGTTCCCAGGTGCCTTAGTTTATTTGGATTTTGACATGATTGAGATACTGTTGCAAGTATGTTGTATAATGTCATTCAGGAAATGTAGAACAAGGGTTTTAATTCACACAGAGCACATGGCATACATGCAGGCAGACATATTGGAACTCTCCCCTCTCTTACTCCCTCACTGAAGAGTACATTTTATAACATAAGCTGTCCGGAGTTATCTCCCCTAGATCATACCATGAACACACTAAGCCGTCCGTAGTTATCTCCTATAGACCACTACTTTGAGTGTACATAAAGACATAACATATTTTCCCCTTTGGAATAAAAGGCTTACTTACACATTGAACTAAAACAGCACAAACTTTTAAACAGCCTACAATCCTCTGGAGACATGCAAGTATAACTATCAATGAAAATGTTCTGAACTACATAACTGTACCAGCAGTGTATTCTAGGAAGAGTCCACGATAGATTCCACTCTAGTAATACTGTACTCTAAAATAACTCTCCCTGAATGACACCTTCAGCTGAACTGTAACACATGTTGAAAGATATCTCAAAACTGCAATTAACTTGAAACTAATCACTTAAAGTTCAATTCAGCATAAACAAGTTAACACACAATAACTTTCATAGGAACAGCTCCTATCAGTTCATGACAAAGTCTTAGTCTATGGTCCATCCCGGAGAATGTCTCTTGTCGATCGTCTTTGTTCCTGATTTGGTGTTTTATCGCTGTTAACCCTCTGGATGCCGAGTTTTTTTTCTGACACACATTTTCCTAAGATCGGAAAAGTGAAGGTTGTGCCAGAATTGCGCTCATGCGGCACTGGATCTACCTCTGGCTATAAAATTATGCAGACGTGGGGAATATTAAATTTCCTATTTGATGGTGTAAAGTTAACTGCAAATATGGAACCGGTTTTAAAAAAATACACTTCCAAGTGTTGCCCGAGAATTTTTTCTGCCTTGAAAAACAGTAAATTTCTCCGCTTTTTATCGTACACCGATAAAAGTACTGTGCGACGATTTTTTTTATTTACAAGCTTTACGGAATCTGTGAGCGAACAAAATACTGCCTAATATCTGAACGACATAACTATATACCAAATTGAGTTATATGCGTATGTATAACGACAAACATGCAATGCCAAAAATAGATTGCCGTAAATGAGGGAAACTGATTTTTCTCTATGACGTCAAAAGGTGACAGAGAGGTTACACACGTACACAGAAAAGGGGGCATAACTCCGCTAAGCTTAGCACTAGTTTATTGTAACTCAGGTCACTTGGTGAGAATTAGCTGTGGATAAGGATAATCTATTTTCGTGGTGTTTTGTTCACGAGGAACCAAACTATTCTAACACAAATATCGATAAAGAAACTGTATACGTTTAGTTGTAAAAAAAACCCCATAAGAAATGATGAAATCGTGCTTCATAAAAAAGAGGTAATAGAGAAATGGATGGCCCTATCTAAATTATAACTTAGTCCTTAGATTCCAACATTCTCCTGAATGTGTAAGTGTAATTTGACTAATGTTGCACCATTATTAATGGAGCACTAGCCTTATCATCAAATGTAATGAAATACCCAAAGAAATAACACCGTTCTATTTGACGCCATGGCTGGTTTTATGTCTTTCATAACGTCGGAGAAAGATGACTCTGGTATTTTGATTAATATATATCTCCCCTAATTTTCGTTCAAGATATGGAAAATCTCGATGTGTAAAACGGAATTTCACGCTTTTTCGACACAACATAAAATGACTGCTTTCACCAATTAAATAATGTTTTGAATATGTAAACAATTAGCTAGTTTATCATGTGTCTTTATTGGACAAGACACGCACCTGTTTGGCCTCAATTTACGTAATGAAATACCCAAAAGAATATTTCATAACAACTAAATTATATTCAATATTGGACAGATATTGTTATTATTTCTCTTCATCTCGTCTAAGAATTACACACTAAAAGATGCGAAGAAAGCTCTTTTGGTATAGAATTGTCAGGATAATCGTATACGGTTGAACCAACAGCTAGGGTACTTGGCATGGGTTTTATTTTTATACATTTTACAATTCCTAGAGAAATAAAGTGAACAGTTTAATATCCTGTGATCACAATATTAAAAAAAGAATGAACCCATTGATTATATAATGCAAAACGAGAGGAATAATGCGTAAATTGTGTGTGGCTTACACGCACCTGGCGTATCACGCCACGGCCCTGTGTATCAAACGACAAAAAAAAAAAAAAATTCGAAGACCAAGACAATTCTTTCAGAAATGTGTGCATATCTTTTTACGAAAAATATTATCCATTGTTAAAGTAATAGAGACCTATTCAGTTTTAGTTATAAAATAAAATGAAACAGCTATTCAAAGACATTGGTTATATGGACTTATGATATTGACTTTTACACATCCCAAGAAATACGTACATGCTGCAGTTACCTGTACGCTTCATCTTGTAACATTTGTCCAAAGGAAAGAAATATCGTATTCGACACTAAAACCCTATCAATTGTTATGTAAACAATGTTCAAACAAACAGGAGATTATCAAAGGTTCGTTCATACATGTTGTGGCTTATATCTGCGTATGATATCATTTTGAACATTGACAAATATCCAAAGGGAAATTAATTGTGTGAAAAAATGTATAAAACATATGCAAAATCTACATCATAACTGAAACTGTAAACAGTATGATACAATGATCGTGTGCACTCTCATTCAAGGACCTTCACCTCAAAGAAATTACCAAATATGTACAACAATGTTGACGTATGACATCACTACCTGTGACCGACTTTTACAAAATGGCGTGTTCACTGTCAACAGTACGCGGGATTTTACGAGGGGACTTTCGTTGATTCAGGGATCGCATATACATAAATGTGACATGTAAGTAATCAGAAACATTCTGACAATCTATGTACTGTTATTTGTTGTTATAATTTTCATTGAAAAGAACCGAAATAGGCAGAAATTCCGATAAATACCGTTGTCGTTGTGCGTGATTTTGCGTCAGTCATGGCGTCACACAGGACGGTAACTTTGACAATTTCTGTTGAAAATATCAAATCATTGCAATGTATCTATTTTAAATTCACTAATTTTTCCTACTATTCTCTTCCCGTGCATATTCTGAAAATGTTGAGCCAATGTCTTGAAAGAATAGACGAATGGATAGCTCAAAATAGGAGAAAATGCTACACTGTGTAAAATCTGTATTTTGCTTTGTTTACATTTCAAACAAGTGCAGTTTTTTGAGCACAGCGTTCGTTTTCACACCTAACATATTTTGCTTGATTTCATCCAGCCACTTTGTATTGGTGACAAAGACCATTGTTCATTTGATTCTAAAATGTATGAGGAATTCAAGGATGTGTGTATGGCAGCTAAGTTTGAAATATACGCGATGTTACAGGCGCCTCATAACCGGTGTACCTGAAACGTGATTTTGTAAACACTATCCAATATGGCGGAAAGTTCACTTCGGCGTTCGTGTTTGCGTATTTTCCAAAACATTTGAAACGATTCTCGGGTTATCGGAGACGTTTTGAAATGATCATTGGTGATTTCATAAAAGACAGATACCCGTGATCACTAATATGCTATTTTTGAAATTCATTTCTCCGAGTAAATATCCTAAATTTAGATTTCAAAACATGCTGTAAATAACGCCGTGAGTGGTGATTTAGTAATGTGTAAAAAATGGCGACATTTACGATGTACCTAATTTTCAGAGGTCATTTTCAGTAATTTTGCTTGGTCTAAAATGCCAGTGGATGATATCACAGAACAGGGAATTTCCCACCTTATTCAAAACTGTGAAGTGTATTTGTGTGGGTGATGTATTTTGAATTTTATTCGACTTCAAAGCGAGGGTTGTAGAGGAAGGACATATATGTCCCTCTGGCATCCATGGGGTTAATGTCTGGAGCTTCACCCTGATGATTCTCTGTACCAGATGGTAACTCTGGTGTCTGAGCTCGTGACTAACGGGATCCGGTGGTCAGGCTGGCTGACTTGGTTGATGCATGTCATCGTATCTCAATTGCGTGGATCGATGCTCATGATGTCAATCACTGGATTGTTTGGTCCAGACTCGATTATTTACAGACTGCCATCATATAGCTGGAATATTGCTGAGTGCGGCGTTAAGCAACCAACAGAAAAGTATTTGTTGAAGTACGGGGCCATGGGGACCATATATGTACTGCACAATATTTATGTTAATTTATCATCAAGTAAAATTCCTGTCAAACACTGTCATTTATGTAGGACTATATTCGGCTACTTTGCTACTTGCTTTTCTGGTATGCTATGCAAACAATTGTTGAGCTAAAATAAACAAAGGCAAAGGCTCAACAAAAGGAAATAATACCTACCGTAAAATAAAAATTATTTCATCATTGTTTGATCAGTTTATGAGATTTGTTGCAACAGCGCAGAAGAAAATGAAAAGCCATGAAGAAAGTAATACTGTCAAATAAAACCAGTCTGCTTCTTATAATGCTCATAAACACAACTGTTAAGTGCTGTAGGTGTTAATGTCAGTTGTATTGTTGGTAAGGGTTAAACGATACATCGGTGCACCAGTGCATTGTGAGTATTCATGTGACGATAGGATACACAATATGTTTTTGTCTATATCGATACAAGACGATACACTTGCTAAAATAAATTACTTACTACTCTTTTTATGATCTCAGCGTATTTGTCAGTTAAATATTGCAAAATGTGTTGTATTTAGTGTTTCAAGTTCACTACTAAAAATAGCCGCTACGAACATGTAGCTACAGCTAGCCTTTCCTTTTGAACCTGCTCTGTAATATTTATAAGTTTCGACGCGATTTGACGTAAATACGTGTGTTGCGATACGTATCGTATTGTGACCTATGCATCATGATATCGTATTGTGATGTTGCTTTATCGTTTCAACTCTGTTGGTAAGCAGTAAAAACTTAATGTGAGTTTAAAGGCTAAAACAGATACATTCAGCAGTACTAAGACCTCATTTCACAGATGCTGGCAGAGGGAAAAGACATTTCGGATATGTAGGACAAAGTATGGTGTTGCTGGATTATCTCGAGGTGAACTGATTATGTTATCTCAATGGAGTTGAGAAGTCGAATACTTGCTTGACCTTCTGTGATGAATACATTGTTACTGGTCCCTCGCATGTTTCGCTCTCACAAAGGTAAAACATACATGTCATTATTCCCACCTATGATTTAGTTTTCTTCCTGTGTATGCTAGTTTAAGGGAATTTGTCACCACGATAGAAGACTAAGAGACTTAGGTGCCCGATGTAATTTATTATCAAGTGTTAACAATGGTTAGCTAAGAGACATTTTGTTTTTATATGCAATTGATTATAAAGGGTTAAAAAAAATTCTTAAGCACCATGGTGTCACTTTAAATTCTGTCTGTGAGACATTTTTTGTGCCAATCGAAAAATATTTTTCAAATTTCCCACATCATGAAGCAGACTGTTTGTTGTCCTTGCCTGACAACTGAAATTGTCATACCTCCATGTCTGAATGATGAGATCTGATTGGTCCATGTGATCTTGATAAAATTCTTTGTATGGAAGAGCCATGTTCTGTGTGTGCCCAGATGTGTTTTCTTGGTGGGGAAAAAGTAAAAACTGTTCTCTCTCATCACTTTTGTTTTAAGAAATAACCAGACCTATTTCCCTCCTCACTTTTAAGAAATCTATGCCTGAGAAACTTTTTATACAGCCAAAACAAATAAATATTTATGGAAAACAGACAGAATGTACCATCTATTCCTGTATAGAGAGTCCTTTATGTCTTACAAAGGAAGAATTGAGAACATACAGTTGGTTAACTGTTAGCTATTGAAATTTGACGTTATACAATAGGATGGCCAATAGATATTTTATTTACATATTTGTAAGGAAATTAGATATTTCGACAGACCAAAGACTTTACATTTCAAACCAATGATTACGTACAGTTGAACAAATGGTTCAAGGAAGTCTATTGTAACTTTGAAAGGTTTGATTTTGATTTAAAGGTGCGAGGTCAGATCAGTTTGAATATTTTTGATTGGTTATTTTCATATTGTATTTATTACTCTGCCCCATGAGAAGATATCAGTTTTTTTAAGGGAACTCCTAACATGGCTTTCAGCTAAAAATATCAGCATGACTTCTGACATAAACTCATGTCTGTACATCATGAAAGTTTTGCATTTCAGAAACTTCTAAGTATTTGTCTGTGGATGATTGGGAGATGGTCATCATGGTTGTACTTTACACATTGTTGTGTTCTCACAAGGAAGTGAGATATTGTAGGTGAGGTGAAATGGGCTTTAATGTCCCATCCAAGATTATTGCGATGTGCATGTACGGGATCCGCGATTTATACCTGAAACAGCTGATCCTGGCATAACTGCAATTCCGCACAGAAAATCCAGGGCCCCGTTCCACAAAACGGTCTTAGCGCTAGGATGATCTTAAGCCTGTGGTAAAGTATGGGAGTTACGATCACCTTAGTGCTAAGATCCCTTTGTGGAACAGGTCCCAGGTGCCTTAGTTATTTGGATTTTGACATGATTGAGATACTGTTGCAAGTACGGTGCACCAGTAGAGCTTCAGATGACTACAGCAGGTCATCAGGCCAAGGGGAGTTCAAGAGTAGAATATGAAATGTTGCTTTTACGTGTGAGCATGAACATTAATTACAACTGACCGTGATACTGGTGTGTATTAGTATGATTGGGAGCAGGGAAAACATTATTTTTTAATACATTGTGCACTTCGGAATGCAGTTATCATAAACACAACAGAACCAGCCGATTAAACTTGGAATGTTTACAAATTGCAGTGCCATCTGGCATTCTTTATTGTCAACATCCTTTGACAGTTTAGTGTCCTGATGTTCTTTAGTACACATGGTTCTTTCTTTTCGTAACATCTGACTATTATATTGCAAACTTTTGACCTTTATTTCAGCTTTGTTACCGGCATCTGTTTGTTTTGTATTTTGACCTTTATCAGTAACATTTGATACTTTATTTATAACATTTGACTAGTATTGCGGACTTTTGTCCTTTATTTCAACTTTGTATTTTTTGACCGAATGGCTGCCCATATCCATCACATGTTCATGAAGTTATCAGGGATCAAGACGAGGGAAGTGGTGATATTTGACATGCAATTAACATGTTGATTGTGAACTAAACATAATGTATATAATTATGATACATGGAAGTTACAAATACTATTTAATGAATAACCCAGGCAATGTGGCCTGTACTGAGCTAATGCTTTGTATTCTTGTGTTGACAGGACTGGGACGAGCCTACGCTTTAGCCTTCGGTGAACGAGGTGCCTCTGTGGTGGGTGAGTGTCTTGTACAGAGTGAGTGAGTGAGTTGGGTTTGAACAGCCTTATATTTGACAGAGCCTGTCAGCTGTATGTGGAGGAAAGCCCAATGGGATGCAGTGTTTCCCAATTTTGTGAGAAAGAAAGTATCATAATCTGATCCTGGCAGTAAGGGATGCAACAGTGAGCTTCAGAGCCTGCTGGGCCTCACTTGTCTCGTGAGTGTAATATAACTGTTGTTACTTCCAGCAATATGTTTACTCTGATGAAATGTTACTGTCAAAAGTAACATGTAACTTGTCTTTTATTTTTTAAAACACTCTGTATTATGAACACGCCCTTTGGGAATAGTTTTTGTTTCCTTAGGCTTTAGTAGGTTTGGTCTTAGATTTTCATCCTTGACTTCTTCCCTACCAAACTACCCACTTCTCATAGCTTTGTTGCCCCCAAGTACCTAAAGATGTGTGGTCGTTTGTTACTTATATGAAATGCACCTCTTCATAGTCCTATCAAACATACATGCTTCATGTAAAACATATCCATTAAATTATTGTACACAGATACCTTGAGCAGGTTGTTTTAAAAAAGTCCTTTTATCAAAAATAAAAGGCCACCAGCTACACAATTATCAACAAAATGTCTGAAATATCTAAGAATTAATTTATACTTGCCTCATGGCATTTTCTATCATGTTGGCAACAGTAGGAATAAACAGTACTTCAGTAACAAACAACTGATGGGACAATTGGATCATTGACCCATGAAGATAACAAACGACATCCCATTCCTGAGCAAAATGGGTCCCCTTGCCCTATTTCTTCTACACAAGGCCATGGTGACCCATCTGTATGTTGAAATCAGCCTGAAGCTGATAATCAATTTGAATTTTTCTTGTACTCAAACGTGTCTACTGTCATACAAGTTTGGGTGAGCAATTTGTCAGCAACAGATGTGTCATTGTAGTCATTATTGATTGAATATTGTTTGTGTATTTCAATATATGGTCATTATAATAATGACATTTTTAAGATAAATATTAGTAATAAATCAAACTTGAGGATATTAGTGGGAATGTATTTTGTTGTATGAAGTCCAATACAATTAAGTGTCATCCCTGAGGTACACGACTTCCTCAGGCAATGTGGCTGTCTGTGTTGGAGGATGATTAAAGTTCTGTCGGAAATGCTAGAAACTGTTAAAAAAGGATATAATTTTTCACAGGCTGTTGTTATTGAAATATCTAGTAACTACCTATTGCCCTACTTGTGGTTTGAAGTATTTCAGTCACAAGGAATCCTATCGACAAGTTTACAGGAGACAAATTCGAACAAAAACAGAAAGTTTACATTTATTCTAAGTCCAATGATGGCTGTCTGAAACAGACTATAGAAATATGCGCACATGACTACGTTATAATGATAATAATGTAGTATTCATAAAACATCTAATCCACACACAAAAATCATTTTGAGAAAATTCTAGATGTGCAACTTCTAAAATGACAAAATGACGCTGCGGTTGTTTTGTTAACATTGCTCCCGTGATGCATGTTACATTACACTTGCATAGCCATAACCATGGTACCCGATATGGAGTCAGTATTGGGAAATGTATATAAGGTCTTTACACTTTAGAGAGATAGAGGGAAACCATTTATTAATTTAGATAGGGTGAAATACAGAACTGCCCAAGCTATTTGATTTTCAATTCATATCATCAAGTCTACGGTATGATAAATAAACCAAAACAGATATAGGGATGGTCGCAAAAACAAAACTGGGACGTAAAAGGACATTAGACAGCTTTGATACAGGGTGATTAGGCGTATAGTGTACAAGCTTTATGAGCAGAAGGTAACCCTGACTTGTAGTAGGATTTGGGAGGAATTAAAGATACAATTAATGTTAACTGCACTAACTATTGCTCTCCAAGAGAGGGGATTTCGACACGCTGCGTGTGGCGATGACCGAGCACTTTTCAGTGGAAAATATTCCATCCCGTCTATGAGGTCACATTATCTCCGAACCATTCATAACTATCACAGTCAGGGCGCCCAGATAAGTTACCTTGATGAATCATTCCACTGACTACATGTGGCTATCGGCAGATGGACAAAAAGCACCCATAGACCATCAGGTAAAGGTAATTGTGTCATTGTTTTTTCATGCTGCGCCCCATGATATTTGGCTTATTGATGGATGTGTGCTAGTTTTCGAGGCGGAAAAAGAAAACTGGGTATTTTCATAAGGAAATTATAGGAGGTGATGTGTTCATAGACTGGTTGGAACTTCAGCTGTTGCCCATGTTAAACCAGTCAGTGTCATTGTCATAAGTGGGGTGTCCGGTATAGGGTAGGGTGTGGGGGCTGGAGCGTCCTGTATGGGATGTGGTGTGTGTGTGTGGGGGGGGGGGGGGGTGGAGTGACATATATAGGGTGGTGTGTGCAGGGTGGAGTGTTGTATATAGGGTGGGGTGTGTGGGTTGGAGTGTCGTGTATAGGGTGGTGTGTGCAGGGTTGAGTGTTGTATATAGGGTGGGGTGTGTGGGTGGTAGTGTCGTGTATAGGGTGGGGTGCGTGGGTTGGAGTGTCTTGTATAGGGTGGGGTGCAGTATGTGATAAGTGCAACACTTCAAAACTTGAAAAAGCCACAAATATTTCGACAGATGAGAATAAATAATTGAAAATGATTTTTGTTTTTTTGCCTCGGGAGCTTCTGTAAAGAGAGTTCCCCCCCATGTAGTCAACGCCTCGTGTGTCTGTCCGTACGTAATCATTTTGTTTCTGGAGCCTAACTCGAAAAGCATTCAATATTTTTCAACAAAACTTGGGAGATATATCAAACAGGCCCTGAAGTGGTGCCTTTTGCTATTTACGGGTTTTGGGCATTTTTATTTTTCTCGATTTCCATGGAAACAATTTTGACTTAGTCTCAAAAGGGTTGGGGTGTTGTCGTTTCCAGAGCACAATTTGAAAACTGTGAAAGACTTTTCATCCAAACCTGGTGCCTGTCTTAACGTTTTCTATTAAGGAAGTTGATTTTTTCCCAGTTTACATGGTAATAAGTTTGACTTTGAGTCTGTTCACAGTGGTATGTATTCTTTCATGACACTTTGCACACACAAAGACCAGTTAGTCAAAAGGCACCTTTTGCTACTTAGGGGTGTTGAGAATTTATATTTTTTCTGTTTCCATGGCACCAAGATTGACTTTGACTCTGTTCATAGTAGTGTGTTTGTCCGGACCATATCTTGTAAAACTATAGGTACTCTTTCTTAAAACTATGCACACACAAAGAACAGGTTGTCAACTGCTGCCTTTTGCTATTAGGGATGTTTGAATTTATATTTTTTTCTGTGTCCATGGCAACAAGTTTGATTTAGAATGTGTTCGTAGTGATGTGTACCTGACATAGAAATACAAGGTTCTGAATACCAGTACCATGGTATTGTTTTGATAGCTCAATAACTACCCTTGTATTCAGACAGACATATTGGACAGAAATTCTCACATCAAGTTGGACTTAAAGTAACAATTAGATCATGATAATTTGTCCTTTTAAATTTGTGGGGGCCAGGGGGATTTGTCATCTTCTGATGACTATTGTTTGTGTTGTCATCTGTGCTCACTTCTAGAAGCACATTGTACCTGTGTTGTATTCAATGACCTTGACCCTTGGCATAGTAAACAGCATTGACCTGTCTTGTAGTCACTGACCTTGACCTGTGTTTCAGTCAACGACCTTGGCGGGGACATACATGGTGGTGGCAAAACAGCCCGGGCAGCTGATGTCGTTGTTGAGGAAATCAGGGCCAAGGGGGGCAAGGCCGTGGCTAACTATGGTGAGTTGCTATGTTTGGATTTTATGTCCACAGAATCTGTCTAACTCTGGTTTCAAAGGCTATAAAAAGAACTTTTTTATTTTCGCTGTTTGTTTGTTGTTTTACGTGGCACTTGGCAATATTCCAACTATATGACGGCATATGTAAATAATCAAGTCTGGACCAGACAATCCAGTGATTGACATCGTGAGCATCGATCCACGCAATTGGGATTGATGACATGAATCAACCAAGTCAGCTAGCCTGACAACCCGATCCCGTTAGTCGCCTCTTACGACAAGCATATTCACCTTTTACGGCAAGCATGGGTTGCTGAAGACCTATTCTACCCCGGGTCTTCACAGGTCGTATTTTCACTAACTGACATGGGGAAAGGATGTTGCAATTAATTTTCAGATACCTTTATGCTTCACATTTTCACTGACACCTTAATGTCATACTTCAAAGTAACATGTTGTGTTTCTGCCAGTCTCTATGGTTGTTTTATCAAAATAATGTTTAAATTTATTGTGTTAATTTCTCTGTGCTGAGCAGGATCTTTGTGAACATGTGCATAATAAATACAGAGTGAGACTCCAGCAGGGCCAATAGCTCTTCTGTTAATGTGGCCTAAATTATATATATTGTAGAAGTCCAAATTTAATTCATTAAAAATGTCATAAGAAACAAATATGATTGGCCAAACAGTTTCACACTGAGGGAGATAAGGGGTAGCCTGGTTGTTAAATTGTTTCATTGTCACGCTGAAGGCCCAGAGTTGATTCCCCACATGGTTACAAAGTGTGAAGTCGATTTGTGGTGTCCCCAGCCGTGATAATTGCAAAAAGTGGCATCCAACCATACTCTCTCACTCACTAAGGGGAGACAGCTATTTTCTTGAGTATGGTGGACACTTTTTTCCAAATAAATTCAGCTCTGTAGAGTTGGGTGCACATAATACTCACCATAAATGAAACACAAAGACATTACCCTGAGCACATAACACTGGAAATACAATTCTTCGGATCATTGCATCAAAGTTCTTTGAAGTTATATCATTGTTGTTTTTTTTACCAAATCACCTGTAGATTGGGAGAAAACCGTATGTACAGCTGATTGCTATTAATGGTTGGTTTGGTTTGTTGTTTAACGCCGCACTCAGCAATATTCCCGCTATATGACGGCGGTCTGTAAATAATCGAGTCTGGCCCAGACAATCCAGTGATTAATATCATGAGCATCGATCGACGCAATTAGGATTGATGACATGCATCAACCAAGTCAGCGAGCCTGACAACCGGATCCCATTAGTAGCCTCTTACGACAAGCATGTGTTGCAGAAGACCTATTCTACCCCGGATCTTCACGGGTCTATTAATGGCTTAATTTAATCTTTTCTTCCAAAATAATGAGAGTATGCATTATACGGATTAGGAATTATTTTACCAGACTCCTGACAAAAAGGGGTTAGATACTGTATAAAACGATCTGGTCATGCATACACTGAAGTTGACTGAAGCTTTATCTTTACTCAAACATATACAAGTCAAAGGGAAAGCATGGGTAGTCCATGATAGTTAGAAAGATATGCAAACATCAGTACACTTGCACTTGTAGGTAGCCATGTGGTTGTAATATTTCTTATTAAACAATAAATCACGTCACTAGCCACAGGTCCGGGTAGTCCTGTGGGTACCCGGGTCTATGTCAGTACCCGGGACACGGGTTGCCCAGTCGTCTAAGGCGCCGCGATTCGCTGTGCAGAGTTGCGTCCCTTGGGCACGCCAGAAACCTATGATCATGTGATGATTGTGGGTTCGAATCCCGGTTCGCCCCGATTATGTTTCTAGGTTTGTCAGCATCATACCTGTGCTCGTGGGTTTCACCGAAGTGGTAAACATCCGAGACCTGCATCATTTCGGGCTTTCCTCCCACAATAAGCTGCCACGCCGCGATATAACTGGAATACTGTTAAAAGCGGCGTTAAACCCAACTCACTCACTCACTCACTATGTCAGTACCCACCCGACCAGAGTACCCGATGTACCCTTCCCGGGCATAATGTACACTGTACTCAAAACGCAGTACACTTCCTGTTGTGGTTCTTTCATTGTCAGCACCATGCCTGTGTTTGTGGGTAAACGTCCTCTCCTTCACTTTCCTCATACATAAGCCAAACAGTCATCAGTTTTAACGACTGGGACAATTGAAGACAGCTTGGAGCCCATTACCATGTGTGCAACCACATTTTGTAGTGGGCAATATTTGAGATATTTCTCTTCACTTAAAACATGTTTTAAACCTATTTTATCTCAACTTGGAAACATCTGGTTCAATTAAAATTAGATATACTGTATTTAGATTTCTTGTGATGTATTTAATACATAATATATGTTAAAACAGTCTGTGCTTCCCAGCAAATGTACAGGAAGCAGGTAGATCTATCATATTACATTGTGGCATCACTGAAGGAATGTTCCATCTGGCACGGAATAAATTCAATGGGCTTGGTAGAATACCAACATGGACCCAATGGAACTGTTTACGATTGACAATAGCACATGCAGGTACAGACATTTTACTTATTGCAGTCACTAGTATGTGACATGTATGTAGTATGTGACAATTCTCCCTCATTGGAATTCTGGGCCATGTGAGAATTGTCAGTGGATGTCACTGTCAAGGGTCACGTGTGTGATGGACATGCCATTACAATACACATTAAGTCATATAATCCTCCAGAACCTCAGCTAATGTTCATTTTTTAGGGGAAAAAAACATCCCTGCCTATAATTTCTAAATATCCAATACTTATATGAGCGCAACAGGAATTGTGGGGTTAGGCTATATGTGACTTATTTGACTGATTTTGCCTAACAACATGGGTGACTGCACTTGCTATTATTTAGGTTAGGCATATTACTGATATCAGGGAATTATCTAGATGCTCTCAGAGGCTGCTATTGGACTCCAGGTCTGAAGCAAATGTCAGTTAAAATTACCAAATTGTAATTAAAAATGTCCCTAGTGAGATTAGTACTCATGATAATGAAGATCTGACGTGAAGATCCGGGTTGGAATAGGTCTTCAGCAACCCATGCTTGCCATAAAAGGCGACTATGCTGGTTGTAAGAGTTGACTAACGGGATCAGGTGTGCAGGCTCGCTGACTTGGTTGATGCATGTCATCGTGTCCCAATTGCATGAATCGATGCCCATGATATTTATCACTTGATTGTCTGGTCCAGACTGGATTATTTACAGACTGACGTCATAAATCTGGAATATTATTTTCTGATCAGAAAAGTTCTCGAAATTCCTAAAAAATACCTGTTTACCATATTATACATACCGGTATAAGGCACTCAGGACACATTTGTAAGGATTGACGCTTTTTTGAAACTTACCGTGTCACTTTGGGTTGACTGGTGAATCTTCTGAAGGCTTTATAATGAATAAGACTGCCAACTGCAAGGAAGTCTCTACATGTAGTACTTATAAAGGTAACGTGAACACTGCTTTGAAAACATGTCGGAGTGTTTATTTGAGCAGAGTGCTTAATGCATTGAGTACTGCAAGATTCACTGACCCACTGATACATCTTTTCTTTCCTCCACAGACTCAGTGGAAGATGGAGACAAGCTGGTTCAGACAGCGCTGGATAACTTCGGCAGGATCGGTAAGTAAAGCAACTTGTAACTCGAACTGTATTTACTGTGTAGACACTTGATGACGTCATAGGGGAGTTGGATCCCGATTGTACCAAGACATGAGTATCGGGTAGTTGGATCCCGATTGTACCAAGACATGAGTATCGGGTAGTTGGAAACCAGTTGTACCAAGACACGAGTATCCGGTAGTTGGATCCTGGTTGTATCAAGACACGAGTAACGTGGAGTTGGATCCCGGTTGTACCAAGACACGAGTACTTTGTACCGTTAGTTGGATCCCGATGGTAGGAAGACATGAGTATCGTGAAGTTGGATCCCGATTGTCATGTTCAATAGTGACGTCATCTGGTTTGTTCTATGCCGTTTCCATATTTGTAAAAGTGGGTCAGTGACATTCGTGTTCATTGCAGTAAATGTTTGAAAACCAATATTGTTTCTTTTTATTTGATAACAAATCCCATCCATTTTAGCTATAATAACGGTAACGCTATTTTTCAGGGCATTATCATTTGCAGAAGCCCTAGGTCTTTTCAACTGCCCAACGAAGGAGTAACATGATACATTGTGCCATTCACACACCATTCACAGCATTTTAGCTCTATTATTGCGCCACTTTGTGCCACTTTCAATGTATTTTCACTGTACTATCCTGAATTTATCAGCACACTATTTCGTAATACTGAGGAAGGAAGGCATGAAATGGAGTGTAAGCATTATTCATGTTAAAAGCTTTTGTCTTTCCTTGTGATTCCTGTGTCAAAAAACATTGTGAAACTGATGTACTATCTGAGGAGAATGCTACATGTAAACAACATGGTCATACCGTTCACGGAGGGTTTTTGAATAGTACGGTGCAACCTGCGTAGGCTGTGATTCCCATCTGTTTCTTCTTGACAGACGTCGTTGTGAACAATGCTGGCATCCTACGGGACAAATCTTTTGCCAGGATCAGTGATCAAGACTGGGGTGAGTGGAATCTGTTTGCCATTTGAAGAGAAAATGATCTCAGATATGTGTTTTGTAAGATATGTGACTTTGTGAAGTAGCCATAACCAATAACCAATAGTAAGTGCAAGTATCACTCTGTGGAAGATATAGAGGGGGCCCAGCAGTTCAGGCCACTCATGTTGGCACTGCAGTTGTTTGTTCTAAGAACGCGTTTCAGACTCTGAAGCTTTATATGTGCCAGAAGCATGTTTTTTTCATTCATGAATGAAATGTTTTTTTCTGAGAGATTTTTTAATACTTTGTTGTTCACTACAACTAAATGTTTTGCATTCTCTGTGCATCATGCATCGAAAGCTTTGGGCAAGTAAGTATGCAAATAGCTAACCACACCACCGGCTGTGGAATAGAATAAGCATTGCCATGTGGTGTCCTTGACATGATATTACTGGACCATTGCTAGCCATAACCTCTCCCTCTCCAGCTACTTTGATGTTTCATTATATCAAAAATGAAATGCTTCTGAGCTGTTTATTTGTGGCTCCCCTGACTGAAAGCCAGCATGTATGCAGAAATATTTGAATTTCATTGCTGACTTTTGTTAAGTGGCTGTTTTTGTTGACATTTTAAGCTGTAGATTACATATCCAGGTGAGCTACAGTGTCATGGAACTATTTTTTGATTATGAGCCCAGTGTTCATGCTGGCTTTTGAAACTGCCAGTCCTGTAGGACTTGCAACTCTAAAAATTGCCAGTTCCCCCCAAAGATTTGTCAGTCCCAACTTTCAACAAATAAAAAAACATATGAAACTTACCTTGTTTTCATTCTTTCAACATCATGTTCAATGCAATGATGTCATCTCTGAAGTAAGTTAGTTAGCTCTACATGAAATTCACACAAAGTTGAGTCACACCTTCTCCTCTTTTTTTAAAAAAATATTTTGAGGCTTAGTCACAACAAATATATTTTTAACACTATAAATAGACAAGGGGAAGCTATGAGGGTAACAGACAAGCTGACTTCGTTAAAAAAATAAACTTATATGAATATCTCAGATGTTTTGTTCAACAACAAAGATTTATAAGGTACTTTATTTGGCAGTCCACAGGGACTGGCAGTACATGAATTACCGGTCGAAGCCTAATTTTACCGGTAAAAACTGGTAATTACCGGTTAATGGGAACACTGTGTGCCAGTAAGACGTTCTTAGCATTCATATTAGTGTCTGTTTAAGACCTGGTAAGTCAAGTTGTACCTGGCAACTTAGCACGGTTTGTAGTTTATGATTGGGACATGTTGCATAATTGTTGCCTTTGAAACCACATGATGAAACTGACCTCTGTGTACTGTGTGTGTTGTAGACATCATCCATAGAGTGCATCTCCGAGGGTCCTTCTTGGTGACACGAGCAGCGTGGCCGCACATGAAGAAACAGAACTATGGAAGGTAGATCTCTTTCTGCTCCGCTTTTGACTCAGCTTGTTGAAATCAGGGGAATCTAGTCAAGGCGTTTGTTGTGACGAGTAAATGCTTTAGGCTCCCCTACCGCCCGTTATCTTCAAAATTTGGATGGCTGAAAATGCTTGAATTCCTGGAAGTGAGCATTATTTCCTTGCTAACTTGGTCATTTTTTGTGTCTCTTTTCTCCATCATCTATCTCATGTTTCTATCAGCAACAAGCCAAAAATTAAATGGGAGACTAGAGTTATGTAACAGTTTAATGTGTGTTTTTTTCAGAATTATCATGACCACATCAGCTGCTGGTATCTATGGCAACTTTGGCCAAGCCAACTATAGTGCAGGTGAATGTTATTCTATGTCACATGGAACTTTTAATATTATTTTCTAACTTTTGTCTGGTGAGTCCACTGTTTTACTGTTGTTCCTAATAAACCTGTACATTTAGCTTAAGTCAAAAACCCAATGCAGTTTTGTTCATGATTTCACTGGCAATGATTAATAACAATTGTGACAAAGTATGTACAGTGTGCATGCATCTTATTAGGCATCGCAGCAATCACTGTTTGGTCCGTCCTCTTGACAAAAACAACAAAGTGCCACTCTTGCCTCAAGCTTGTTAATTCACAATGTGTAATTGGATAATGTGAGAAGCAATTTTTCGGTATCAAGGAAAAGCTGCCATATTTTAATTCATGCCTACTCTCCATATTGTATTTGTAAATAATGATTACCATTACAATTGGATTAAAAGATATATACATTATTTGTTGAACAGTTAGTTCATATTACAGCGATGTTAGATGTGTTGAGAAAGGTACTAGATTTACTTGCGCTTCTCAAATTATATGTATTTATATAGTAAACTTATCAGGACCTGAGGATAGGATAGAGATATCGGTACATTCAAGAAAAGTAGGTGTGACTGCAGCTTCAAAACCCAGTGCCAAATATCAGTCTAATGTGGCTTGGGAAATGAGATACACGACACTAACTGAGACTGATCTACTTGTAGCTAAGCTTGGTCTTCTCGGTCTGAGCAACACCCTGTCTATCGAGGGGCAGAAGAACAACATTAGCAGCAACACCATTGCCCCAATCGCAGGCTCCCGCCTCACGGAGACCGTCATGCCGCCAGGTGAGTGAAGGGGGCTTATTAGGGGGTCATAGATAAGGGGCCTTGTCCGAGGGATCACACAACCAGGTGAGAGAAAGGGGGCTTGTCATATGCCACCAGGTGAGAGAAAGAGGGTTTTTAAGGGGGTTTATACCACCAGGTGAGTGAAGGGGGCTTGTTAGGGGGTCATATGCCACCAGGTGAGAGAAAGAGGGCTTTTAAGGGGGTTTATACCACCTGTGGGGGAAGGGGCCTTATTTGGGATCACGCCACCAGGTGAGAGAAAGGGGGCTTGTAGGTTGGTCATATGCCACCAGGTGAGAGAAAGAGGGCTTTTAAGGGGGTTTATACCACCTGAGGGGGAAGGGGCCTTGTTTGGGATCACGCCACCAGGTGAGAGAAGTGGGCCTTGTTAGGAGGCAATGCAAAGATATGATACCGAAACAGTGTTATGTTGAAAGAAGACAATTGTTCAGGAAGAGATGAATAATTACCAGCCTGGGATAATAATTCCAAGTCTTAGGCTTGTGAGCAGGGTCTATATCAAACTCTATAAATGACTGCCGTACTTTAAGTGCCTGGCTGAGGAGGTTGATGTTTTGTGGTAGGAGTCGTGGTTGTATGTCAGACCATTGTACTAAAACAATGAAAGTTCAAATGCATCAGATTCTTTGAATGAGGATCTAATTTTTTAAATATATATAGGCACTGCTTCACTGACTGTCCCATGTGTTGTAGAGTGGATCAAGGCCCTCAAGCCGGAGTATGTAATGCCTCTAGTCTTGTTTCTGTGTCACGAGAGCTGTCCGGAGACCGGGTCACTGTTTGAAGTCGGAGCTGGATGGATGGCAAAATGTACGTACATTAACCACTATGGGTCAACTTTATAAGTATTGATTACTACTGCTCAAGTATTAAAGCCTTATCATTCATCCCCATTGCTAGAAAAACATGAAATATCTGTCATTCCAGAAAGATATTTCTGTTGGAACTGCCCTTTTTTCGATTCAGATACATCATAAACTTTTACCATACTTATGTGTAGGATCCTTATCATTCTTCTGGGTGCAGGGATAGCCTAGTGGTAAAAGCGTTCACTTGTCATGCTGAAGCCCCGAGATCAGTTCCCATCAGTGGCACAATAGGTGGACCCCTAGTATCCCCTGCCTTCGTATAGTCAGAATATATCTTGAGGTGGCTTAAACCTCACTCACTCACTCACTCACTCATTCATTCATCTAAATGTGTTTTGCAGTGAGATGGGAGAGAACTCTTGGAGCCACGGTCCGGAGAAAGAACATAGCAATGACACCCGAAGATGGTGAGTTGTGACTACTAAGATGCAAAATCTTGCTGTTATCTGTCACCTTATGGATAAAAGTCAATTCACCCCAATAATGAAACACCTCTATGAACTACAGGGTGTTACTAAAAACATGAATGATTCCCTGTTTGATGTATTTTCAGTGAGAGACAACTGGGAAAAAATAACAGACTTCACTCAGTCCAGCCACCCTGCTTCTAATCAAGGTAAGTGTAGAATTAGCTCAACTTAACTCCAATGTCCCGATCAAGGTAAATGTTGAATAACTCACCTAAACTCCAAATGGCACAATCATTGAAGGTAAATGTAGAATTAGCTCACCTTAACTCCAATGTCCCTATCAAGGTAATTGTAGAATTAGCTCACCTTAACTCCAATGTCCCGATCAAGGTAAATGTTGAATTAACTCACCTAAACGCCAAATGGCACAATCATTGAAGGTAAATGTAGAATTAGCTCACCTTAGCTCCAATGTTCCGATAAAGGTAAATGTAGAATTAGCTCACCTTAACTCCAGTGACCAAGATAAATGTATGATTTTGTAACACTTGTTAATATCAATATTTGAAACTGCTCACAAGTGGGATTGGGAAAGAAAACTTTGTTTTATGTATATCCTTTACCTGCAATGTTATTGCCATATGAGGCATCTTATTGTTATCTAAAATATCTGATTAACCAATCAGATTTGATCTTTCTAAAATGTTGTAGAAATGCCCATCTCCTACAGGTCAGTTGAGCAATCTCATTATAACCAGATATTTTACTCTGATACAATACCTGTGTGCATGAAGATCTGACGAACCTTCCAGGAGGTTGTGTGTTGTGAACCCTGAACGAACTTTACCCTCCCAGTCTATGTGAAGAACACATGGGTTCTTGAACCATTTAGATGTGTTTCAGAGTCGACAGCCAACATGATGAAGGTGATACAAGACATAGACTCAGCAGCTGAAGCACCGGTGGCCAGGCGGACACAATCTGCAGGAATGGATCCTGTAAGTAGGATTGGATAGATCCATTCTTCCTGAGGAAAGGGAGTTAACTGACTGTGAAAGTGGCTGGAATTTATGGGCTCAATCGTAGCACCATCCTTGACTATTACGAGTTATTCCCCTCCTATTGACCAGTCAGTTTCCACCTCTCATATCACTTGCATTTGCTTCAAAGAAAATTGCGGCGCCCAGTTAATGCCATGTGATTGATAATAATATATTGTGATAAAAGGAGTCTTACTTCGCAAAATTCATCAAACCACGTGAGCACCTTGATTAAACACATGAAAAGATTTGGAAAATATCTGTTGATGCCAAGTTGGCAGTACACATGCTTTGCAAATGCTGCAATCCACCAAAATCTGTATGAAGCGGATGTCCATTCGGTTACGTGATTTTGATTGGACTACGCATAGACTTGTTAGTCCAGCCAAAATGTAACTCAATAATTCCAGCCTAGTTCTTCAAGGGTTGAAGTAAAGTCAGTTAATGCCCTTGCCTCAGGAAGATGGATGGATCCTGTAAGTATAATTGGTTTGTCCAGAGAACATATTTCAATGACTATGATCTTCTTGTGGTCTGTCAGACAAGTTTGAAATGTTATTTTGAATTAATAAATAGGAAAACAATATTCATGCCAGAATGTGAATTATGTGCTGTTAATTCCTATGTTATTGTTGTGAGGGCATGTTTCCATGAACTGACGTCAGTTTTACGCTGTCCTCAGGAGTTGGCCAAGGCCCATGACATTCCACCCGAATCCTTCACCTACACGGCACGAGAGGTTATTCTGTATGCTTTAGGAGGTAAGTAATGAACAAATCAAGCAGTCTGTCTATCTTTCTCCATGATACGATCCTGTACATTCAACTTGTACCTACACTAGTAAACATGACTTCATGTAGAAAGGGACATGTGAAGATCCGGGGTAGAATAGGTCTTCAGCAACCCATGCTTGCCGTAAAAGGCGACTATGCCTGTCGTAAGAGGCGACAAACGGGATGGGATGGTCAGTCTCGCTGGCTTGGTTGATGCATGTCATTGTATCCCAAATGCATAGATCAATTTTCATAATGTCAATTACTGGATTGTATGGTCCAGGCTCTATGATTTACAAACCGCCATCGTATAGCTGGAATATTGCTGAGTGCGGCGTAAAACAACAATCAGACAAACAAAATGTAGAAAGGGGCTGTTACTGTAATGTTGTCCTACATGTGTGTAGTGGGGATGTCCACCAAGGAAGACGAGTACCTGAAGTTCCTGTTTGAGGGGTCAGAAGCCTTCTGTACGTTGCCAACATTTGCCGTGATCCCTGCCCAGATGGCCATGCAGCAGGCGCTCATGCAGGAGATCCCTGGCCTCAAGCAGGACCTTGTCAGGGTAAGGCAGGAGCGGAGGCAGAGGAGACCATGTGCTGGTACTGTACCCGTCATTACCATAGCTGCTGGCCGTAACTCTCTGTGAATGAGTGTGTGAGTGAGTTGGATTTAACCCCGCTTTGAGCAGTATTCCAGTTATATCACGGTGTGTCACCTGAATGTGGAAGGAAAGCCCAAAGTGATGCAGGTCTCAGATGCACGGGTATGGTGCTGACAAGCCTAGAAACATAATTGGGGCAAACCGAGATTCGGACCCTACAAGCCCATGGGACACAGCTCTGTGCAGCGGATTGCTGCGTCTAAGACGACCTGGCCACCCATGTCCCCTCCACCTATCTACAATTATTGTCCATCTTCCTACAGTCTGAATGCAATGGTCGTTATTACAGTAAGCAGAAAGTAAAGAATTATAATGATGTATTGTAATGTGCTTTTGAAACAGCATTTTGTTTTTCTTTTGTTAAAACATCTTTTTAGAAAATGAATGTCAAATCAATCCGGACCTCTTTTCTTTATTTTTTTGCCTCCTACCTCCATGCATATTTGCTTAAAACACATTTAGAAATATAAAGTTGATTTGCCTTAATGAACAATACATTACAGAGACTTACAGATGCTCTCTGATAATACATCAGCTAACAAAATAATATATTATGCTGTCGATATGTACCAGATATGTACATTTCATCAATATGCCTGTGATTGCCATGAGAAGGCCCAGAACCCCCAATGTACTTACTTCTCCATGCCTTGTGAGAGGTAGATGCCTGTTTCCATTGTTCCTAGTTGTTAGGATGACTGTACCCCCTGTTGTTGCAGGTGCTGCATGGGGAGCAGTACATGGAGGTGTACAAGCCCCTCCCTACCGACGCCACGCTCACCAGTAAACTCAAGATAGCAGATATCCTGGACAAAGGCTCAGGAGCTGTGGTTCTGTATAATGGTGCGCTCACGTCATTTCATTCGTTAGCTTCATTGATAAAATTATATTAAACTGGATATCGCAAGCTCTAAAGCTGTAGCTGGAATATTACAGACCACTGCAAAAAATAACAAGCAATACTTTTCTTCAGAAGATCACCTTTGGGTATTAATAGGCTTTAAACATGAGTCACCTTTTTTGTATTTAAGATAGATTGGAACCGTTGAAACCTTGAAAGTTGATACATAGGAATTAGTAGGATTGACATGCCATGGATGCAATACATGTTCTCCATGGGGTAGAGTGGGGAGGGTCAGTGGGGCCACCCTACAGCTTCAGTGTACTGCTCCCAACATAGGCAGCAACAGTTGACTGGATCGCCAGTATCTTGGTGATGATATGAAGCTTGGGTTAAAGAGAGCTGTTGTCTTTGATTCCTCAGTGGAGAGCTTCAATGAGAAGGGTGAGAAGGTGGCATTCAACCAGTTCTCCATCTTCGTGGTGGGGTCGGGGAACTTTGGCGGCAAGAGGACATCTGACGCTATCATCCCAACAGCAACAGTGCCTACACGTGCCCCTGACGCCAGCATTACAGAGACAACTCACGTGGATCAGGTGAGCTTCAACAATGGTGATGGTGATATCATCACATATATAAAATATGACCCACTCCAAACCCAAGAAGATCCGGGTTAGGATAGGTCTTCACCAACCCATGCTTACTGTAAAAGATGACAATGCTTGTCGTAAGAGGCAACTAACAGGATCAGGTGTTTATTGCATATCGTATCCAAATTGCGCAGATTGTTCTTCATGATGTCAATCACTGGATTGATGGTCCAGACTTGATTATTTACAGCCCCTCATCATTTAGCTGGAATATTAGTGAGTGTGGCGTTAAACAACAAGCAAAACAAACCCATGTATATGTGTTCCTGTAATTTCTTCCCAACGACTCTCTGGATAGGCTGTAAGTGACCTTCTGATTGATAGTCTTCCTGTTATAACCAAATAGGTTTTAATGTAGTGGAAAGCATAAAGACAAATCACGTTCATGGATGGCTCAGTTGTATGAGGTGCAGCAGGATTGCATCCCCTAGATGTACCAGGATCTGCTGGTTGTAGGTTTACATCCTTGATTTGTTCTGATTGTGATCCTTGGTTTGTCGGCACCATGCCAGTTCTTGTGGGTTTCACAAAGGTGGCATTTGTGAAGGATATCTATGACTTTGGGCTTTTCTTTGACATGACCTGACATATTACTGAAATACTATTCGAGGCAACACTAAAGACCAAAGATCGAAACAGTCAAAAGAAGACACGTATGAAACAACCTCACACCCTTTAGTCAGAATCACTTTGATACATTAAGAATTCCATATACCGTATTCGACGTAATAAGCGCCCCGCTCTAATAAGCACCCACGGTGATATTTGCTAATATATTGGCACGTGAACAATCCCAATTAGCACCCTTTCCGATTGATCAATGTAAACAAGACTTATTCATTCGCGTATAATACGAACTCCTGTGTTATATGCACCCTTAATATGGGCAATTAAATTCTGGAAAAATATATCTGCCGTACATAAACATTTCAGGCTGTCAGCATAAACCACAAAATTTATCTTTCAACTCTGTTATTTTTCACCAAAATAATATTTTAATAAGAGCCCCCTATTCCAATTTTGAGAGCGCCCTGGGCGCTTATTACGTCGAATACGGTAGTTACTTTTTAGATAATTCTTGACCTGTCAGTGGACATCAGTGGCTCCTCTTTCCTGTCACTTTGCTGGCTTGCTGTTTGATTTGTCAGATATTTAAGAACTACAATAGTCTTTAATAAGAAGTGGAAAGTAAATATGGAGTTGTACCAGGGATAGATGTGAAGGGAATAGTGGAACATGTGTACCATAGTTCCATACCTCCGGCTCGTGGTACAAAACCTAACATGGGATGCATAAAACCCCATGTACCCCTTGTGATACTGCTACAAAGAATTTTTCTTTACCAACATGTTTTAATCGGCCACTGTAAAATATTTAAGACAAATTCATAATTGATAGTAAACAGCTGTTCAACTGAGCTGAGGTTAACTGGTGCTATGTCATGCAACTTTCATTGACCCTGAAAAAGCATACATCTTTTTGCTTCGAAGTGGGGTATAAGAATTTATTCTCTCTCTCTCAGAAATCACTTGCAGCCTGTCTTATTGGTCGAGGGGTATAAGGGATTTATTCACCCACTGAGAAATGTATTTCCCTCCAAGGTGGGATACAGAGTATTTTATCAAGATCACGTGAACCAATCAGATCTCATCATTCTTGGAGCTAAGATAAAATATAATATGAATGTCTTGATGTAACGTATGTATCGTGTGATGGTCTCCTGGTTTCGATGTATTACAAATTCTGCTAGATGACGTTAGAATAACCTGAGCCTACTGATATGAAAGATGATGTCCATGATGTGCTTGTGTTGTCCAGGCTGCCCTCTACAGACTGAGTGGAGACCGGAACCCACTTCACATTGACCCAAGCTTTGCTGCCATGGCAGGTGAGATCCCTGGCATCAATCAGGGACACACTGCTATTTTATTATATACTGGGTAATCACCGCCAAAAGAAACGTGAATACCATACATGTTGGTTAATATATGAAGAATTATTCATGCTCAAGACATATTAGATTGGTTCGATGCACAAGCAAATGAACATACTGGTATGTTGTGCGAACCGAGGCTTATGACCGCATCATGACGTCACAGATCCATGACTTGAGACGTATCATTTGTCTCATGCAGGATTAGCGTGTAAAGTTTGGAAATCACGTGCAGCATATCGTGATAAGAATAAAGTCACTCTGTGGTAACACTTGACTTTAGATTTTGTCATTAATTGGGACACATTGGAAACATAACATATCTTAACATATTTACTTTTCTATATGTTTCTATGGTTCGTGTTTCTTTTGCTGGTGGGTATATTTTACAGTATTGTATTTTTCAGTTAGATTGAATTCCACCTTATCGTGTCCTCGTTTATGACTGATGTTTGAAGGTGCCTGCTTGTACCTCCTCTCCTATTGCTTTGATCTCCAGGCTTCGACACCCCAATCATCCACGGCTTGTGCAGCTTCGGTTACGCTGTGAGGCATGTTCTACGTCGCTACGCCAACAACGATGTCACCAGATTCAAGGCTGTTAAAGTGAGTGAGATCAAACATTCTTATGGCAACGTCTCAGCAACATGGTGATCTCTGTAAGTAGGATGAAGTTCTGTATATCACAGACCATTTTGTGACAAACGATGGCTGTCTTCAAGATTCTAATGGCAACGTCTCAGCAACATGGTGATCTCTGTAAGTAGGATGCAGCTCTGTATATCACAGACCATTTTGTGACAAACGATGGCTGTCTTCAAGATTTCATTAAACACTGATGATGGAACAATTTGTAAAATGGAATGTGAGTGTGTGTCACAAGCTGATTGGTTAAAAACATTGTTAAATCGTATTTCTCTACCTTTCACTGTATATGAGTACTTAAACATATACTTATTAATGATGGGACGATACACAGATGCATTGGTGGATCGTGACATTTTGCTGCTGATACAAGTATGGATCAGTCTCACTAAACAAAAAAATATTGATTCTTACCTTACATGTTTGCTTTAATAACCGTTACACCAAACAAACACTAATTAGTAGTGAAAAAATAAATATTTTCATCCATTGTGCCATAAGTGACACTGCCAACTGTAAATCATTTATGTACCAGGTATGTGCCAGGTATTTAGCCATCCTATCTATGTGATAAAATGGCTTATGCACTACAGATAAGAGCACATGCAAGTATCTTGCTATGTATTTGCTCATTAGCAAGGTATCATGATACATAGCTAGTGGATAGTAGCCCAAATACTTGTACTGATAAGTGTCTCGTCAAAAAATATAAAAACTTGCCATCCACATGTTGACATATAGGTCATTTTAATGTAATATGACATTTGATAAATATCTCTTACAAAAAAACTTGGTTTGCTTAATGTTTTATTTGGTCCTTCGAAACATGAATCCTTCGTTCAGTTGTCAGGGAAGCATACAATGTGGGGCTGGGACAGGCAGCCTGGGTACTTGGGTACTGAGAAGGACCTGGCTACCCACAGGACTACCTGGACCCGTGGTTTGTCACATGATACATTGTTAATGACAAAACAATTCTTGAACTTGTTACACTACAAGTCACTAATGTATGACTTTATATGTTTGAATAAAGATAAAACTTTCAGTCAACTTCAGTGTATGCATGACCAGATTATTTTATATGTGTATCTAAATACATTTTCCCAGGGCTACGGTCAAACTTCTCCCAATCAGACAGTTTGTACGTATCTCTTGAGACCTACAGTGGGCACCTGGGTAAGGTTGGGTATAGTGTGGTAAGTCCCCGGGTAGTAAATTTGGACTCGTCCCAGCCCTAATACAATGTCATCTATTGTAACATGATGCCATATCTCAATAACAGTTGTTCAGTTACTGTTTGTATTATGATATCAAAAGAAATAATATATTTTCAAATTTGGGGGTGTTTTTTAGTGTTCAGACTCTAACTATAATGTAGTATGTGTGTTTATGTCAAATAAAGTCCTACTAGTCCCACTAGTGTACATGCAAGTTCAGTTCTCCAGCTTACTTGTGGTATGTGTGTTGCAGGTGAGGTTTGCGAAGCCCGTGCTGCCGGGACAGAGTATTCAGACAGACATGTGGAAGGAGGGCAACAGAATCTACTTCCAGTGTAAGGTGCGTCCATTGGGTTCTCGGGCTGCTATTGATGTGTGTTTCTGTCTACTTTATGTGATAACAAGTCTTCAGGACATGTTCTGACATTCTATATTATAAACACTCGAAGAGTCTGATTTTGTGTTATTTAATTTGTTTGTTTTTTTATCAGATTTATTTACTTGTAATGGTAATATTGTCATATTTGTGGACATGCACAATGCATGAATAAAAGGAAAAAAGTGTAACCGTTAATTCTTTTTTGATAAAAAATGTAGTATTTTTTACCTGTAAATGGAAAGTTGAAAGTGACTGGCCAATCAGACGTGGCAATGCTGACTGTTTGCAGGTTGTGGAGACAGGTAATACAGCTTTATCTGGTGCATACGTGGACTTGACAAGTAGCAGTGACAAGCCAGCCTCTGTCAAGGTAAGTGGTGTATGAACTGTAGCTACGTTTAGGAACAAGCACTTGTATGTGACAAAATCTGGGCGTACTGTTGAAGGAGGGATAATGTTTTCTACTTGAAGTGCACGGTTTCTTTTAAAAAGTTACATGAAGGTAACAAGGATATTCTAGCTTCTCATGAAGTGGCATTACATAAAATTAACACATGAAGGCAATTTTTTAATTGACAAACAAATGCCTGGCCAGTGAGTTGATCCAGCAGGTCCAGATTCTTTTGACAATTACATCACTGTCAATGACATTTGCCTTGTGGCTCTATATTTCCCAACCTGACTAACCTTTTTAGCTCAAATGACTGAAAGTCAGGTGAGCTTCCATTTTGCCTTGTGTCAGGGCGAGTTTTCTGTCATCTGGGTGTCAGTCCGTCATTTAACTTTTTGATATCTCCTCTGAAACTACAAGGCCTATTGAGCGTAAACTTTGTATGAATAATCCCAGCTATGTTGTCGCTAAAAATTGCTCAGATAATTCTCTCAGAATTGACTTTAAACATGGCTGCCATTATTTTTTCATAATTCAGCTGTACTACAAAGCATTGTGGCTCTATATTTATATTCCTCAACCCATTGTTTTCGTCAAATTGTCCCAGAGGTGATTGCCAGCAGCATGTGTGTTTCGTTGTGTTTATGGAATGTTGATGTGTCCCTCCAGGCTCCCAGCCGGCTGCAGAGTGACTCAGTGTTTGAGCTGATGCAGGAACAGATCAAGTCCCGCCCAGGTCTGGCCTCCAAGATCAACGCCATCCTTGTGTGGGTCATTACCAAAGGAGGTAAACCTGTCTCAGAATGGAGTAAGTATGCTTTTACCAGCATCTTTAACAACTAGTTGTAGGGAATTAGTACATCTTCAAAACTATGGATTCTGTTTTGGTAGTGAGTGAATTATTAATAAATTTCAGCCATCATTAAGTAAAACCAATTCAAATATTTTGTCAATACATGAGAAATGAAAAATAATGGTTTGTCAGGTCTTATTTCAGGTTAATCTTGTGCTAGCTGTCAGTTATATGAACTATTTATAATTATCGCTCCATATTTGCCAGTTTGAGAGGGCCAGAAAGGATGCTTAACACAGTATGACCTTAAAGCAGTACACTGTCAGTATTTACTCCTACTTGGAAGTACTGGGACTTCCAGTACTAATACTTGGGGTCCCACGGTGACCAATGTCTCAACAGTGAAACACATCTGTTGTTATTGACTGGAACTTCACTGTTTGAAAGTAAACCTAATGGAAATCATCGATAATCTACATTAACTTTCCATCTGAATAGAATTGATAAGTAAATTTTAAATGCATGCTATAGTTAGATTGGTGTCAATGATTCAAACTGTTCTATTCTTTTGCCTTTTTGCCCAATGTCCATCCACCCTGATTCTGTCATCACATGAATATGCATGGCAAAAGAAAGAACCAAATTTAGATTTAGTTATGTTCACAAATTTTAATCATTATATGTAGTAAGGTAAAAGTGCATTACTAGAAAGATAGCACAAGACACTATTTGTTCTATTCCCACTTATTAAAAATATTATTGGCCTAGAATGATTGACAAACACATGTTTCTTTGTTATATCATAGAAATAAATAATGCTATTGCTCACCAATTATTTGTTTCTGTTTGGTTATTTCAGCTATTGACATGAAGACATCAAAGAACGGTGAGGTGTACCGTGGCCAGCCCAAGTCTGGGAAGGCAGAATGCACACTAACAGTTTCAGATGAAAACATCATGGACCTAGTCACCGGGAAACTAGCACCACCACAGGTAACACATGCATGATCTGTTGAGTGAGTGAATGTTCATTTACATGTGTCAGAGCTGTGGATCAGACAGACCAGTGGTTCAAAACATTACACAGTGACACACAATGAGCAAGGTAACCAAATTTATTGGCAAGTACTGGGGACTCAGCTATTCTGACCTAGAATCACCTCAGTGTTCCTATTTACTGGTAATCACCAGTTTTTTACTGGTAAAATTAGGCTTGGACGGGTAATTCATGTGACTGTCAGTCCCTGTGGACTGGCAAATAAAGTACCTGATAAATCTTTGTTATTGAACAAAACATCTGCGATATTCATATAAGTATATTTTTCGAACGAAGTCAGCTTGTCTGTTACCATCAGGGTTTCCGCTTGTCTATCTTTAGTGCAAGTCTAAAACATTTCGCTTTGCTTCGAGGTTAAATATATATTTCTTGTGAAATCAAAATATTCAAACAAAAAAGAGAAAACTCAAAACTCAACTTTGTGTGAATGATGGGTAGATCTAACTAACTTACTTCAGAGATGACATCATTGCATTGAACATGATGTTGAAAGAATTAAAACCAGGCAATTTTCATACTTTTTTAATTTGTTGAAGTTGGGACTGACAAAAATTAGGGGGCACTGGTAATTTTTAGAGTTTCAAAAGCCAGGGGGAACACTGCACAATGCGGAACAAAAATAAATTTGTATTCGTTTAGGATGTCACCATGATCATCATCTAACACCATGAAGAGAAATAATCAGAATATATTCATGTTCATTTTCCATCAAATAATTTTACATGGATTTGTGAATGATCATATTATTATTTTCTTGTAGGCCTTCATGGCGGGGAAGCTGAAGGTGAAGGGAAATATCATGCTTGCCCAGAAGCTTGGGGTCCTCTTCAATGAACAAGCCAAGTTGTAAGGAAGATAGCATCAAGAGAGTGGTACCCTTGCTTTTAGGATGTTTAAAACGGTGATTTTCTAACAACGTCCTCATCAAGTATATATATGTATATGGAAAATTATCAATACTAGCAATGACGTCTTTAACGATATAGTTTAGTGTACAGTCATTATTGGAACAACTGGAGATTTCAGTGTTTGCAAAAGGAAAAGGATGAACAATTAAACTCACAAAACAATAATGCAATTTCATCCCGAAAACAGAAGCTCATGTAATATGTGAATGATTCATGTGTCAGTTCACCATCCTCACACTATGAACAATATATAGAGCTTCACATACATGTCTGTATGTAATACTATGAAATGTATAACAAGAGTTTGGTGAGTTCTGCTTCTGCAAGATTGTTTGTACATTTATCGGTATACAAGATCAGTTGTATGGAATCATTATCTGACATTGGTAGCTTTTCATAGAAAGACTGATTGCAGAAGTTGATATATATGTATATGTGTGAAGATGTGGGATATATATGTGACTACTGTTTTCGCCGTATTAAATGCCCTGCTCCAAAAAGCACCCCTGATCAATGTCTTCTCCAATCTGAAAGTAATCTTTATGAGTGTTCCATCATAAGCCAGAAATCTTTCATGTCAATCTGTATTTATCCTGTTTTTCTATTATAGAAATGCTGCAGTGTTGAAGGGGTATATAATTGCCTCAATTATTTTTGAAAAAGTTTTTGTTTCATTAATGTTGGAATAAAATCTGTTCTCTACCTCTTGATCTAACAACAGACGTGACCTTGTATGGTCAGGATGTTTGTCACAAATATGGTATATATATAGGCTTTTAATTATTTCCCATCATGAATTATGATGTTGCTCATGTATGATAATCAGTGATGATAAATCATAATTTGTAGATAATGTCTATTTATCTTCTGCATCATTGTTTGTGATAGTATATATCACGTGTTATCATAACTGCATGTTATAATATCATTGATGATAAGAGGGATCAAGCCAAATGTGGGACTGTGTTGTAATTGATACAAATATGTTTGTTTTTTTATTCTTGACCAGTACACATTTCCCATAATAAAACTTTTCTATTTTCAAAAGTGTATCTGTGTTGATGTTTGATTTTGTTTCCTTCAAATAACAGGTTCCTGTGAGTGTGTGAGTGAGTGAGTGAGTGTAAATGTGGTTTCATGCTGCATTCAGAGCTGTATAATGACAATTGAACATACAGAGTCTGACGTATTGAAACCAGTGGTTGACAGCATGAGCAACCATCCACACTGTTAGGCACAGCGACACACAGTCATCCAGGTCACACATTGTAACCACACTGTTGGGCACAGTAACACACAGTCAGCCAGGTCACACATTGTAACCACACTGTTGGGCACAGTGACACACAGTCAGCCAGGTCACACATTGTAACCACACTGTTGGACACAGTGACACACAGTCAGCCAGGTCACACATTGTAACCACGCTGTTGGACACAGTGACACACAGTCAGCCAGGTCACACATTGTAACCACACTGTTGGACACAGTGACACAGTCAGCCAGGTCACAGATTGTAACCACACTGTTGGGCACAGTGACACAGTCAGCCAGGTCACACATTGTAACCACACTGTTGGACACAGTAACACACAGTCAGCCAGGTCACACATTGTAACCACACTGTTGGGCACAGTGACACAGTCAGCCAGGTCACACATTGTAACCACACTGTTGGACACAGTGACACACAGTCAGCCAGGTCACACATTGTAACCACACTGTTGGACACAGTGACACAGTCAGCCAGGTCACAGATTGTAACCACACTGTTGGACACAGTGACACACAGTCAGCCAGGTCACACATTGTAACCACACTGTTGGGCACAGTGACACACAGTCAGCCAGGTCACACATTGTAACCACACTGTTGGACACAGTGACACACAGTCAGCCAGGTCACACATTGTAACCACACTGTTGGGCACACTGACACACAGTCAGCCAGGTCACACATTGTAACCATACTGTTGGACACAGTAACACACAGTCAGCCAGGTCACACATTGTAACCACACTGTTGGACACAGTGACACACAGTCAGCCAGGTCACACATTGTAACCACACTGTTGGACACAGTGACACACAGTCAGCCAGGTCACACATTGTAACCACACTGTTGGGCACAGTGACACACACTCAGCCATGTCACACATTGTAACCATACTGTTGGACACAGTGACACAGTCAGCCAGGCCACACATTGTAACCACACTGTTGGACACAGTGACACACAGTCAGCCAGGTCACACATTGTAACCACACTGTTGGACACAGTGACACACAGTCAGCCAGGTCACACATTGTAACCACACTGTTGGACACAGTGACACAGCCAGGTCACACATTGTAACCACTTGATCCTCACTGTTTATCATATGTTAAGCATGTGATACTGTGGAGCTTAACTACCCAGAATCCCTATCAAATGGGTGGTGAGTTAATTGAGCATGCATGGAATGCTCGAGCATTGAACTTTCAAACAAATCTTCTTTATCATACTTGACCTGAGTTGACTGTATTCAGACCCTTGCCTCTGGGTTTGTCTGTTATTAACTTGACTTCTATAAAATATGTAACCTGTTGTGTGTGGTCAAGTGAAAATGTGTGAAATCATAAGCGCCACACTCAGCAATACTTCAGCTATATGATGGCGGGATGCATATAATCTGTACCAAACAATCCAGTGGTTGACATCATGAACATCAAAATTCTCATACGATGAAATATGACTTGTTTGTTTATTGTGTAACACATCAATATTCCAGCTATATGAAGGCAGTCTGTAAATAATTGAGTCTTGACCACACAATCCAGTGATTGACATCATGACCATCAATTGGGATATGATGACATGTATCAACCAAGTCCGTGAGTCAGACCACCTGATCCTGTTAGTCACCTCTTACAACGATGAGTGAGTTTGGTTTAGCACCACTTCTACTTGTATTTCAGTAATATCACTGAATAATTGAGAATATCAGCTTAATCTTGTGGGAAAGCCTCCAGTTGCTCTTTTGTGGGTGATACCAAGACAGCCGAAGGAATACTATGGGCCCAAATTGACCAGCTCATCTAACACAACTTAGAACATAATTTCACACATCCACAGAACAACTTGTGACCCCCAACTTATTCATCACAACATATTGTATCACCATGTTTGTAAGTTTCAATCAACTGAACAGGCCTCTCTTTTGTGACCAAAAAAACAACAAATTGAAACTTGCATAAATGATGCCAGCAATAACGCCTCTATCTTGAGTCACCCGATTCCTGTAGTGAATGATGCTGTTGTCCACTTGTGTTATTTCTACTTGCAGTCTTTAGAACTTACATCATCTGCAATAAGTGTGTGTAGCATGGGCTTTAACATGTTGTTTATTTCAGGCAATAAACCTACTTATGTTGTGTTTTCAAATGCGGGTAATGTTGAAACTATATATCTTCAATGAAAAGGAAAACACAAGGTTCCAAATTTGAAACGTCTAGAGGTTTGAAAGCGAGTTCTGCTGACAGAAACTTAAACTTGGTATCTTTGGATGCCATTCTGAAAATGACTCTTTGGGCAATTGCTGACATTTCAGCATGTACCATTGTGAGCATTGATATTTGGAATGTATGCAGTAAACCAAATAACAGTTGATTAAGCAACCTAATGTCCCAACCTTGTCCCTTACAATATCTAGTTTGTGATTAATGAGAAACTGGTGTAACAAAAACAAAATTCCAATCACCGGGCAAACCAAGATTCGAACCCACAATCATAGGTTTCTGGCGTGCCAAAGGGACAATGTGGGAAGAAAATCAAGACATTAAGGCACTTTTGTGAAACCCATGAGCATATGAATGGTGCCGAGAAACCTCCTCATTGTCGGAGAAATCTGGCATTCACTCTCAATCATGGCAAGCCTAAGGGATGTAACTCTGCAAAGCAAAATATGGCTCTCAGACAGCTCGGGTGGCCAAGCTGTGGTCATGGAACAAGCTGGTGAATCTGAGCCAGCTATTTGATTGTGTTGTTTTAGACTCAACAACATGCACAGAGCATAGTTTTCAGATGTATCACACACCAGGTACTGTTTCAGTAAACATACTACTCAAAAGAAGTTAAAGAACACCCTTTTTGTTCATGACTACAGTAAATGCATACCTCTCAACTCTCACGCATTGCGCGTGAGTCTCACGCACTTATCACCTGTGTCACGCAAGGTTGGGGGAATTCTCATGCATTCATATAAAATGTAGATAAAAATATTTTGAAATGCTTTCCTCTTTCAATTTATCGCGGTTGCAAACAACATGGCAAGACTGGGTTCATTCTTTCCCCTTTCACGCAATTACTTGTTATTTCAGAATACATGCTCTCTAAGGCCATTTAAATGGTCTTAAAATCATTCAAAACCAGTTTTTGTCGGGCGGGCTTCGTCCCCCCACCATGGCTTAGCCCTGGGCCCAGCAGGGCTTGCAGCCCCTGCACCCTGGCTTCTCACTCATTTAGACATCCAGGGGATGACAGCTAAGTAAATGATCAGGCGGGTGGGCATCTCAAAACAGCCTTTCAATATTGTGGGTGTTCTTTAACTTGTTTTGAACAGTACACACTGGGTCAGATTCATAGACCCTATCGTATTCAACCAGGTTTATGTGGCTGAGGGTTCAAATTCATGACTAAAGAAAGTGCTCATAATTCACTGACTGATTTTGAATCTCAACTTCATTAGGCTATGTCATTGCTGCTTGCAAGGTCTTGAACAAAAATAAGACATGAAAATAAAGTTTTTAATTTTATTTTTAAAAAAAAGGAAAAAATAATGTGATACATGAGTGACTAAAGTTTGCATAGAATGTTAATTCTTCTTGGGTTTGGGAGTGTCGTATCTACTCTTGCTGCTGTACCACAGGAGGTAGGGGATTCCCAGTGAAGGCAGGGTCATCACAGCAAACACCAGCCAGTCCAGCTGAAACAATGAGACACACTTGTCAGCATCAGTGGCACCACAGTAACTCTTCCTGAACATGCACAGTGTTAACACATATTTATGAAAGTTGTCCTATTATTATGATTATATATCAGCAAAAATAAGTGATAGATGCTCAATTCATTTAGAAAATATGATTAAGGGACATTTCTAATTCCAATTTGGGTATTTTTAAAGACATTTGCTGCAGATCTAGGCCAAATATTGGCCTATAAGCAGGTCCAGATACATCCCTGTGTACTCACCACATGTGGAGAGAAGCGCCTCTCAAAGTCCTTCTTGTTGACAATACCTCCTTCACCAGGGGCACTGGTGTAGCCAAACTGTCAACATAAATGACAGTTGTGAAACAGACAAACAGACATGAACAAAACATTGGTGATATTCATATCACTATATTTTTCGAAGGAAGTCAGTTTGTCTGTTGCCATCAGGGTGTCCCTATGTCTATTTTCAGTGCAAGGCAATAACATTTCGCTTTGCTTCGAGGTTAAATATTCATTTGCAGTGACTTTGTCTCGAAATATTAAAAAAAGAGAGAGAAAGTTGTGACTGAAGTTTGTGTGAATGACATGTCGATCTAACTAAGCTACTTCAGAGATGAGGTCATTGCACTTAGCATACTGTTGATAGAATTATAACCATGTAATTTTGATATGTTTTTTCATTTGTTGCAAGTTGGGACTGACAAAAAGTGGGGGGACTGGTAATTTTTGGGTTGGACTGGCAGTTTCAAAAGCCAGCTGGAACATAGAAAGATGACATTCCTTTATGTAGCATATTCCTTATCTTATTTTATATGCATAAAGCCATGGGTGCACTGGGCATGCTGGGGGTCATGTTTATGACCTCTGTTGTTTTGTTTGCCTTGACCATCTCAGTCCTAGCTTCTCTTCATGATCTTAGTGTGCATTAGAATTAATTTAACAATCATTCAAGGATTCTATTCAATTTTGTTCAGGATAGCAATGTAGGGCTAATTTAATGGCAAAAAGGCGCACCCAGTGAACATGGTTGGTTGGTTGTTTTACGCTGCACTCAACAATATTCCAGCTATATGGCAGCGGTCCGTAAATAATCGAGTCTGGACCAGACAATCCAGTGATTTATATCATGAGCATTGATCCATGCAATTGGGATCGATGACATACTTCAACCAAGTCAGCAAGCCTGACCACCCGATCCTGTTAGTCGCCTCCACGACAAGCATGGGTTGCAGAAGACCTATTCTACCCCGGATCTTCACGGGTCAGTGAACATGGAAAAGTATATATCATGAAGTGTGTATATATATCAGCGTTAGAAATTGGCACTAGTCCTTGCCAAACTACCCAATAGTTAAGGTATCGTAAGGACTAGTACAAATTTGCCCTTTTTAAGGGTTTTGCTATTTGTTATCATTATAAGGACTAGTTGACTAAAATTGTTAGTTTCTACCGCTGTATATATCTCTCATGTTGGTATATATCCTCCACACGTTTAGGACCACTTATTAGTAAACAAAACATTGAAAATGCGTTTTCTTTACCTGAGTCTCTGCAGCCTCTTCTGAAACCTTGTAGCTCACCTCAGCTGAGGTGAAGTTGAAGTATCCAGATTTTGTGGGCCGCAAGATGACAGCGTGGGTCACATTGGAATTGCTAACATGGGTTAAGGTAAAACATGAACAGATAGTCGTCATAACAATATTGTCAATATAAAATATATATTTACCCTGTTACAAAAAAACATTCCCACAACACAAACAGTACCTGAGCAAGGATCCAGAAAGAAAATACATGAGCACAAATGTAAGTCTGCATGTCCAGTTAACATGGTTAAGGGACAGTGCTTTGAAACATGAGTCCATACTACTTTCTGTCTTTCAGAGACTTTCAGGGTTACACATTTAGTGTGTGCTTTATCGATGAAAAAAAACTGAGAAATAATAAAGAAATCTCAATAAAAAATCATATCAAAATACATAAAAAGGATACGGAGCTATTCTCTCCCACTGAACTTGTAGGTTTCCATTCACAACTTCAAAATCAGCTTCAGGGAAGCTATCGTCTTTTAGTTGGACCCCTAAAGCCGCACTGAAACAGAAGCACAGGTGATAGAAAACAACAGCACAAATTTCAGCAAACTCCAGTACTTAATCTGTTTTCATTAAAGTTTAGCAACTTCAGCCAGTGCCGGAATGGTATACACCTTACACATGACAAAATTGATCACCAGAACACACAATAATATTCCTTAGTACATGCATAAGAGCAAAACTCACAAATTTAAAATAGTCAGGAAGATACATCTAAAACATGCAAAAGAATATCTCACCTTCCTCCCACATTAAATATTCTATATTCTACTGTCAAGTCTTTGCCTTCTACAAGATACTGGTTGAGGATGTTCTTTGATGCCAATAACCTGGCTTCACTAACATCCTCTGCTGGACACACAACAAACAGGCTCACGGCCAGAAACACAGCAGCTACCAACAGATTCATCTGGAAACATGAAACCAATTGTCAATATGTTGAAAATGTGTCAGACACACCTGACGGTCTACATGCAGCCAGACAAACTAACAACTGATACTTAAAAGGTATATCTGGGTGCCCTTATATATATATATCTTATATATCTTGAAAAAAACATCAAAGCAAACAGTTGATTATATAACATCTATGACAGGTGCTACCTGGGGCCATCAACTTAAGCCCTGTGAGTTTGACAATTTTTATTGCTACTAATGAAATACCCTTGGGCAACAGGAAGATGACCATAATTAATGACATTTGTAACAATAGCCTTGGATTACAATCCAGATTACACGGATTTGATAGCAAAGAGTCAACAACCCTTGAGGGTAGAAATAATGAAATTGGTTTGTGTGACATGTTTTCTTATCACCGATTTTCACATCTTTTTAGTCATAATGCCATAGATTTCACTGCATGCCCAATTAAAAAGATAAACATGATAAATAAGGTGTCCAGTCACTACATTCCTATAGGTAAATTTAAAAACAATACTTCAATGTGGGTACATATTTCTACACCTGATCCGAGTATATATATAATGAATCCAAACTGGTATTGATAAAATACTCGTGAACAGAAATTTTGATCAAGCCACCACATAAATCATCACACACAATATTCATGATAAAATTGCAACAGTATTGTTTTCACGTGTAACTTTTACAACACCTCTACTAACTATCACATGTTTCATATAATACTAGTGAAAAGATACTGGTCTCCAATTTCCAAACAATCTGTGACACACATCCATTGAACAACACCATCAGCTGATCAGAATAAACGTGAACACACACAAGGGGTTGCAGTTTTTTTTACAAATCAGCCGTCATTGCTTTAACTATGAGATTTTTATTCAAATTCATTAGCGTATGTGACGTATCATGATCGGCTAATTCAACTCTGACCTGTCCCTAGCATGTATTGGCTATTCGCCACGTCGACATGTTCTGATGGGAGAACCATAATTGTGTATACATCGAATTATCACGATTATCAATGCACGGATATGTCAAGATACATATTAGAGAAGTAACTTGCAAATAAAATAAAATGATCGTTTGGTGATAATGAAAATAAACACCGCGACATGTACACAAACTTACCACGCTTCCTCCTCAAAAGCCGGCCAATGTGAAAAGGAAGTCCAGTGTGTTGTGGGCTAGTGATTTTATACTACTTTCCAGTGAACTAATCCCTTTCTTATAAGAAATTAATTACTAACAAACTAAGCATTTTCTTAAGATCCATGAAATGTAATGGCAGAAGAAATAATATTAATGAAAACAGTGGGTGTGTAAATATCAGCAAATAAAATACAAAATTATGGAGTAGTTATAATTTGTTATAATGTTCTAAATGTAAAAACAAGGATTGGTCCCTTGCTAAACCGGATATCCGTCAGTCGTTCCCAGAGTTCCTCAGTAAAAAAGAACAATCATGGCGGAGAGTACGGAAAATTCTGGATCTTTGATCACAGTTACTGTCAAAACACCGAAAGAAAAACATGATATAAAACTATCGCTGGATTCTTCAGTAAAGGAGGTATAATAAATAATTGTGTGATCGAACACATTGTTTTCATATCACCCACATCACCCGAATATCGTGGTAACAGGTGCCCCGAATATGCATCGGTAACATCTTCTGTTTCAGTTGATCGCATGATAATGTTGATGAATGTGATCTTTGAAGTCGAGCTTTTATGATAACAATGTCCTAGCTTTGTGTTTGAAACATACGTTATTTTAATGCTGATATGGTGTTGGTCGCCTTGCCAGAAATTCTTTCATTTGAGTGCAGTTATTTTCAGTATGTTATTACGAAACGCTCAAGTAAACGATCATGAAAATATGCACGATCATGATGGATGCAATGATAATGATATAGACTACATGCGATATATACACTCTTAAGTCAAGATGCTGGTTAAGGTTGTCTGAGAAGATATTCGTGTGGTAAGAAAATAAATATGCTTACTTGTTTACCATATTTTTTTTGCATTAATTTACTGCAGCTACTAGCATAGTACACCATATAGAAAAAGTTAATTGAAAATTGATAATCTTGCCACACGTTAACTGACCATTAAAATTGTCAGACACACAATGTGTATTTTTTTCACATTTTTTATGTATCAATTACAATACATTGATCATGTTGATACTGGTTTCATTAAATGGGATCGACAAACATTAGATGGGGGCAACTTTGTATTATTGCATGTGTTTTCATGTGTGATACATGTGGAATATGAGCTTTACATCATGTCTTTTTATGAAATATGCATCATCATTATTCACATGACATAGGTCGGGTCAAAAGAGATCATCCTAACAAGTGGGTTATTTTCTACCCGATTTTGAATGGACATGGGGGTAGTGCCACATCTAAAACATTACAGAAACTATTATGAACAAGTTAATATATGTTTTTAATGCCCCTGTGACATTACTCATCGAGTCCTGTTTTTTCAATCAAACAATGAAACACCATGCTTGGATTTGCTAAGTAAACAGCCAACGAGGGTGTAGATTAGAAGCTTTTCCAATGTTACTATACAACAACTACTTTGTGATAACTTTCTCAATTAGGAAACATCTCATTGTTGGAGTTTGAACAGTTGGCAAATAGTGCAGTTTTATGATCTCTTTACCAAGTTTACACTGTCATTCAAGTTCTTCAACTTTTCAACCTTTTCCCAAAAAGGTTTACCTCCAAATCCCAAAGACAATTTGATCTGTTCACCGCATTTACATAATGTTTTATGTGATGCACACTCTATCTATCTATCTATCTATCTATTTTATTTGTCAGAAAGTAATAGAAATATAATTTATTGATAAACTTTACCTTTGTTAATGAATGTAATATAAACTACTTTAATTGTATAAATCTTGAATCAGTTTTGTTACAGTATGTTTTATTGTGTACTTGTTTATACTTTACACAGATTGTCAGTACGACATAAACAGAGAAACTTTGATGGTTACTTGTAGCCTTAAGTCATGCAATCAATCAAGTTGGAAAGATATATTGCACTTTACAATGACTTTCATGCCCAAGGGACAGGGGAATGAAGGTCAGAATGACACTTGTTCTCAAAGGCAAAGCTGAGGGAAATTATATCCTGTATTTTACTATGTAGTTTGACATGTTTGATGCCTTAATGTGGATGCCATGATTGTAGTGATGGTGAAAAAAATGTATTAATCAGTAGATAATAGTATCAGGTTTCCTTTATGATAATGGTTGGAAGGAGTTTCATGTGGTCAAAATGTGGAACACCTCGTGGAGAATTATGTCCCTTAGTAATGCCAGGATATGCTCACAAAATTTTTTGAATCTTAGATTAGCCCAATTTTAATCATTGTCATTTAGCATCTTTCTCTTATGGGAAATCACAATATATAAATGTCTTCTATTTGTGTCCCTTTGGCTTTAATCCAAATTAGACTGGTTTATACTATGTATGAACATGATGAATGACATGCTGCAAGCTTTAATTCTTTTTCGCACACTTGAAATGAGAACTGAAAGAACACTGTTGTGCTTCACAATCCATAGAGTCAACTTTATCAACACTTATCAAACAATGTGTCAACATTAAGTCCAGGACGAGTCCATATTTACTACCCGGGTAATCACTGTAGGTCTCAAGAGTAGGACTCCGATTGGAAATTGAAGACTGAAGTTGACTGAAGTTTTGTCTTTACTCAGAAGTATAAAAATCAGAGTGTTCGCTTAGTGGGAACGAAATATGAATATGAGCAACTTTTATTGTTATTCTAATCAGACAATATATCACATGACTAACCATGGGGCTGGGTAGTCCTGTGGTAACCCAGGTCCTACTCAGAACCCACCTGACTCGAGTTACTCATCCCAGCCCCTAGTCAACATCCCCATCTATGCTTGCCATGCATGCCTAGGTTGAAAGTTCCATTTAAGCAATATCTACTACCCAGCCACCTATACTTGTCATAAGATGCGACTAAATGGATCAGGTTGTCAGGCCCTGTGACTTGGTTGATTCCATGTCATCTGTTCAAATTGCTGGATTGATGCTCGTGATGTCAATCACTAGATTGTCTGGTCCAGAAGCTGGAATATTGCAGAGTGCAGCAATAAACAGACAAGTGACACATTGTTCTAGGCATGCTGAGAATACTTTATATAGTTATTGAGTGATTCCGTTTAGACTTGGGCTAGTGGCAGTGTACAGGGCTGCTGCGCCTGCCTTGACGAGACCACACTGATCAGCTTACAGGGATCATGTCTAATCCCTCTGTTGACACTGTAGCATCTCTTACACTGTCAACTAGCTACTCATGACACTCTGTTTGGTTTAGTACTTGTTCCATGTCAACATTATCATGATTATGTTTCCCCCCCTAACAATGACTGATTCAAAAGAAAGTTTCTTAAATCATACATCAGATGTTTATGGATAAACAGGGCGTCACTAACAAAAAAAAATATGATAAGTGTGCTTGTACAATGCTGCGTATTGAACAACTCGAAAGATTCTATTGGTTCAACAGCACTCTACTGTCCAAAACAAACAAATAGGAACAAAATTGGACTAACCCTCATACATGTATTGATGGCTCTGGCATAGCCGAGCCTGGCATTATTTTCGAAAGTTGTAAAGGTTATATCTCAAGTCTGTTAAGTAATCAGACCGCCTCCGTGGTCTAGTGGTAAAACGTCCGCCCGGAGAGCGGAAGGTCTAGGGTATATCCCCGGCTGCGTCATACCAAAAGACGTTAAAAGATGGTACTTGTGGTAACCCTGCCTGGTACTCGGCATTATGGGGCTAAACAAGGACTGGTCTGCTCTGAGTCAGTATATTGTGGACCGCCTCCGTGGTCTAATGGTAGAGCGTCCTCCCGGAGAGCGGAATGTCCAGGGTTCGACCCCCAGCCGCGTCATACCAAAAGACGTTAAAAGATGGTACTTGTTGTTACCCTGTCTGGCGCTCGGCATTAAGGGGCTAAAACAAGGACTGGTCGGCTCGGAGTGAGTATACTGTGTCTGAGTGGGGTATTCATGTTAAACTGAGGCATGGTATCTCAGTGTGCTAGCACTATAAATCGGCATCAGTCCGGACTAGAACAAGCAGCCACACACACATACACGTGCATGCACGTCGCTATATAAGTGCAATAATCTTGGACGCGACGTTAAACCCCATTTCACCACCACCAGTATATTGTGTCTGAGTGGGGTATTTATCTTAAAACTGCAGTATGGTATCTAAGTGGGCTAGCACTATAAATTGCATCAGTCCGGACTAGTACAAACAGCCACACATGTACGCATGTGCATGCACGGCGCTATATAAGTGCATTAATCTTGGACGTGGCATTAAACCCCATTTCATCCCACCTCATCCAATACAAAAACATTTCATACAAATAATGGCTGTTCTGGCTTAATGTACCTTAACCACAAAACAAGTTTATAGCCATGATGCTCAGAGTTCTTATACTTTTGTCTGTAATGTTATATTGTGATCATTTTTTCAGTTGAGAGAGAAAGTTTCTAAAGAGTTTGGTGCCCCAGTTGAGCAACTATGTCTGATATTTGCTGGCAAGATTCTGAAAGAAAATGAGACACTGACACATCATGGCATCAAGGATGGACTCACTGTGCATCTGGTTGTCAAGTCAGCTAACAGGGTGAGTAGTATACCAGAGTTTGTTAGGATGTGGTTCTACAGCTGCACGTATCATTTCCCCCCAAATACATGGTATTATGTCTCCATTCTATAGCTATAAATACCCTGGACCATTTGTCTTGATCGCTTTTTGGGGGGGGAAGTGACGTTACCAGCTCAATCATGCTCATCACAACTGAGCACACACATTCTTGTTCTGACGTGAACTTGAGACCAATAAAAATGCCTCTTCTGTACATGAACACTAAGAAATATGCTGCCTGTCCACATCATTTGCCAGTACTCAATGCCAACCAAACGATTGTGTATTTGATAACTTTCTCAGTCTTATCTTTATTCAATCTTTTGCAGAATAACGAGTCATCTTCATCTCAGCCAGCAGCGAGTACAACATCACAGGTATTGTGGACATTCTAGCAACATGTATACAGTGAATAGCTGACACCTTGACTAAACTGCACATACATTATGGCGTATTGCTTATCTATATGCATCATTGTATTGTAGATCCGGAGGTAAATCAAATTGTCCTAACCTCAACATGCTCACTAGATATAAAACAATGTCTAGCATAACATTAAAATCATCATATCTAGTGATGTTTATTGCACATTTCAAATTTTCATTGACCAAGTTTGTTACCTCAAGCCTGAAGCAGTACAATGTAGTTTTTGCAACAATATACGAAAGAACATTTTTGTCCTGAAACGTACACAAGAATGAGGGTTGGCTTTATACTCTAGCGCGCACACTATACACAAGGAAATACAGTGTTTATTGTTATGTCTTGTCATGGTACACTTTGTTAAACTCTCCTCCATACATGTCTTCAATATGGGACATTGTTCACCCACAGCCTCCCCCAAGTCAGCCCAACGTGTCTGCGAGTCCCCTGGGACTCGGAGGGCTTGGAGGACTGGCCGGCCTGGGCAACCTGGGGATGGGGTCCGCCAACTTCATGGAGATGCAGCAGAGGATGCAGACTGAGGTGAGGGCCGATGTCACCGTCGACCACGAGTTAGCGCTAGTGTAAATCACTACTCCATTCCAGTGTACCATGGTAACTTGTAACTTGTCCCTGGTAAGGTTTCTGGTTACAATGATGAGGAAAAGAACAGTATAAGTTTTCTCAGGTTATGGTATGGGTTACTCAGTGTAAAACCACATTAGTCTTGTGTCCATATGAGAAAGTATATCACCATACACTGAGTTGCTCCAATCTTTTTAGAAAGGCCAACACATACCAGTATGTTATAAACTGGTTTTTCGCTTTTTTCCTGTTTGAATAATTATGTTGATGTGTTTACTTCAGCTTTTGAGTAACCCTGACATGCTCCGCCAGATGATGGAGAACCCATTTGTACAACAGATGATGTCCAACCCTGATGTGATGAGACAACTCATTACCAATAACCCTCAGATGAGGGAACTGATGGAGGTATGCTAAACTAGTCACATTTTGCTATGGGGAGTGCAGGTTATGTGAGTTCAGGGTTGTCTCCCTTATCTAAACTGAAAAAGTTCCTAGTTTGAATCTTAATTTCGGCTGAAAACATAGAGATGTCCTGTAGCTTAAGTTCACCTGGTGTTTGTTTGTACAGGACATCATGTGAAGGTTTTGAAATTAGCCGTTAGTTTCCCATCTGGAAATATCAGCTCAGGTCACCCATTGCTTCATGCTTGCCGTGAGAGGCAACTAAAATAGAGATCAGATTGTCAGCCTTTATGACTTAACTGACTGTGTGCCATCATACTCTATTCATGTGGATGTACATGCTTTCCGTCACTAGTTTGCGTGGTCCAGACTTTTTCATCTACTGGACATACTGTCTTATATGGCTGGAATATTGCTGACTGTGGCATTGAACATTCAATCTGGATCATTTAAATTTAGATCTGTGTCCTTTCAAATGAAAGTTTGACAGACTGGATAGTGTACCTTAGCGTTATGACTGTTGTAAGTCTATGTTAAGGTATGGATGTTTCGATCACGTTAGCACTAAGATCACTTTGTATAATGGCTCCCAGATATGTAGTAAGGTCAATCTTGCCCAAATTCAAGTCTCTAAGATTTACATCAACATCATCAAAGTTTACCACCAAGAACAGACTTGGTTCCCAGACACTGTTTTATTTTTGGAGCAAGCGCACAGCTGCACCACTTTGTTGTGAAGTGGCTTTGTGTTTCAGAAACATGGAATTGAAGGTGCTTGTTGCATTGTGGCTAATCCAGGTGTGATCAAGTATCAAATAAGCTGTATGTTGTGGGATGAAATTATAACCATTATGACATTATTTTGTTGATAGTGTATGTACTTTTCTCCCTTGATTATTGTCATTTTGATTGCAGCGTAATCCCGAGATAACCCACATGTTGAACAACCCTGAACTTATGCGCCAGGTAGGTGAACTTGGGCTTTCTTAAAATGTAGTAAGTATATTATATTAGAATGTTCCAGAAGACTAAGTATTATCAACCTTTTTCTTTAATCTGTGCATGAATGGTTTGCATTGGTAACTCTGTGATCAAATGGGACATAACGTAAAATCTAATTGTCCACAGATGAAGGTTACTTCTCAAGAACTTTATCATTGTTTGACATAACACATATCGGCAGTTCCTCACTATCTTTAATCCAAATGCTTTAATGATAAAAAATAAGGATTTCATTATGCAAATTAAAAAGTAATAAAGATTTAAATAAGTGACAGTACTGCTAATCATGTGAAAAACAAATGTCTTCAAATCGGCTGAGACAGACGGGTGAACAAGTTTGTTGATATATATTTAATCTTTTTGAAAGCTTGTAACAAGGTTGCAAAATTGTCTGATGCTGTAACATACTGTGCTGGGGAGGTACCCCTATACTCTGCATGGCTCACTAAATAGTTTTCAAGTGATGACATAATGGGGTATAATGTGTTGTTGTAGACGATGGAGCTGGCGAGAAACCCAGCGATGCTGCAAGAGTTGATGCGGACACAGGACAGAGCCATGAGCAACCTAGAGGTCAGCACTGGGGTTTTACTTTACTTTGTCATGTCACAACATGTTTGTGTCATGTAGTACAAGGCTGTAACAATTCCGTGGGGATGATGTTCATTATATCAGTCAATGGTTTGTCGGGCCAAAACTATGTCACTCCTATTGACCAATCAGATTCAACCTCTCATATCATTTGCATTTGCTTCAAACAAAATGGCGTAGCTCAGTCAAGACGATCTGATCACTAATCAAAATGTATGTTGCAATAAATGGGTCTTACCTCGCGAAGCTGTCAAATAATTTGAGCTGTTGATTTAAAATATGAAAAGAACTGGAAAATATTGGTCAACACCCAGTGTTCTGAATGGCTGTTTGCTGTGTTCTGAATGGCTGTTTGCTTTGTTCTGAATGGCTGTTTGCTATGTTCTGAATGGCTGTTTGCTGTGTTCTGAATGGCTGTTTGCTATGTTCTGAATGGCTGTTTGCTGTGTTCTGAATGGCTGTTTGCTATGTTCTGAATGGCTGTTTGCTGTGTTCTGAATGGCTGTTTGCTATGTTCTGAATGGCTGTTTGCTGTGTTCTGAATGGCTGTTTGCTGTGTTCTGAATGGCTGTTTGCTGTGTTCTGAATGGCTGCTTGCTATGTTCTGAATGGCTGTTTGCTGTGTTCTGAATGGCTGTTTGCTGTGTTCTGAATGGCTGTTTGCTATGTTCTGAATGGCTGCTTGCTGTGTTCTGAATGGCTGTTTGCTGTGTTCTGAATGGCTGTTTGCTATGTTCTGAATGGCTATTATGTTCTGAATGGCTGCTTGCTGTGCTCTGAATGGCTGTTTGCTATGTTCTGAATGGCTGCTTGCTATGTTCTGAATGGCTGTTTGCTGTGTTCTGAATGGCTGTTTGCTATGTTCTGAATGGCTGCTTGCTATGTTCTGAATTGCTGTTTGCTATGTTCTGAATTGCTGCTTGCTATGTTCTGAATGGCTGTTTGCTATGTTCTGAATGGCTGTTATGTTCTGAATGGCTGTTATGTTCTGAATGGCTGTTTGCTATGTTCTGAATGGCTGTTATGTTCTGAATGGCTGTTATGTTCTGAATGGCTGTTTGCTGTGTTCTGAATTGCTGTTTCCTGTGTTCTGAATGGCTGTTATGTTCTGAATGGCTGTTTGCTGTGTTCTGAATGGCTGTTTGCTGTGTTCTGAATGGCTGTTTGCTGTGTTCTGAATGGCTGTTATGTTCTGAATGGCTGTTGAGGTTTTGTGTTATGTTTCAGAGTATTCCTGGAGGTTTTAACGCCTTACAGAGAATGTATCGAGACATCCAGGAACCCATGATGAATGCAGCACAGGAGGGTTTTGGAAACAATCCTTTCTCAGGCCTGGTCAACAACGGTCAGTGGTTGGGACAGCTCCAAGAATTCATTAGGCACTAAAACAAACATCTGCAGAAATGGTCCATCTGTGTTGTAAATTGATTTATATTTCAAAGAGTTGGAAATAATCGAGTTCATAAAAATCGTATGCGAAATTATTTCACTCACATGTGTGTCATATGTTTTCTGAAAATCGTGTAATAATCCATGTTATTTATAAAATCAATATGACACACATGTTGGTATAATAATCTCTACATATCATGTTTACCTCACACTCAGTAGCTAATATTTAGGATTAACCTGACTTGTCTTGAATTGTAATGTCTGCAGGTATCTAAAATAGTTTTATACTACATGGTTTTGTGAACATAGAATACCTTGGGGATGAGATTAATGTAATTCACAATGAGAATTAAATCTTTCTTGAGGTCAGTCAACTTAATTCAGCATGTTCATTTGAAATGTTAACGTTTGTCATCACTTACTTTGACCTTTCATCTTGTTCTGTAGTATCAGTCAGTTGCAAGTAAAAATACATTTTAGAAATATGATCTTTTCCAATTCTAATATTACTTGAGATGGAAAGGCCTATTATCCAGTGTCTTTTTGTCTGTCACTGGGCAATTATTCAGACATTTAGCCAGTGTTTACTGATTCTGCCCAATGATGCATACAGGGACATTATTATTAGGAATGGGTGTTGTCTGTCCGTCCTTCCATCCCTCTGTCCCACTTCGTTTCTGGAGCAGAACTAAAAAATAATGAAAGATATCTTAACCACACTTGGCACAATGATAGGTGAATTGGTGCCTTTTGATAGTTTGGGATTTAATTTATTTTTTTTAGAATTTTCAATTTCAACTTTGACTTTGTAGTGCTCCTTTCCATAGCAGATCTTGAAAACAGTACGATACTTCTTCACCAAACTTGGCACATAGATAGGTCTACAGGTAAACTGGTGCCTTTTGATAGTTTGTGATTTAAACAAAATTTCCTTTTTGAGTTTCCACAGCAATGACTTTGACTTAGACGAATGCCTTTCACACAAGCAGACATGTCATATTGGTGGGGGATATGAGTACTTCATGCTTGTTGACTCATGTTTCACTGTTGCAGGAGGTGGAGAACAGCAACAAGGGCGTGAAAACACGGCTCCTCTCCCCAACCCATGGGCTTCAGGCGGATCCACCACCAGCTCCACGACAGGGACGACAGGAACAACAGGGACAACAACACCAGCAACCACAACATCTTCATCAACAGCAGGAGACACTGGAGGATCAACTGGACCGTTTGGTGAGACATATCTGTGGTTGAACATTGGGATGATTGTATTGAGGAAAGATGCGTATGTGTGTGTTGTTTGACGCCACTCTCAGCAATATTCCTACAGTGTGTCAGCATCCTGAAAATAATCAACACTGATAATCCAGTGATTGATACTATGAGCAACATGGTGTCAGGATAAGTTGACACACCATCAACTAAGTCACACTGTTTGCTGTGCAGAGTTGAGCATGCCAGAAACCTATGGTCATGGTTTTAAATCCTGTTTCACCTGTTTGCTTCTAGGTTTGTTGGCGGGGGCACGGGTGGCCCAGTCATCTAAGGCACCGCGATTCGCTGTGCAGAGTTGTGTCCCTTGGGCATGCCAGAAACCTCTGATTGTGGGTTAGAATCCCGGTTCGCCCTGATTATGTTTCTAGGTTTGTCAGCACCATGCTCGTGGGTTTCACCGAAGTGGTAAACGTCTGAGACCTGCATCACTTTGGGCTTTCCTCCCACATTAAGCTGACACGCCCCAATATCACTGGAATACTGTTAAAAGCAGCGTTAAACCCAACTCACTCACTCACTAGGTTTGTTGGCACCATATACATTCTCGTGGGTTTCACCAGAGTGGTTTTAGATGTCTAAGACCTGCATCATTTTGGCTTTCCTCTTGTATCAAGATGACCTGCTGTGAACAAGACCTGGAATGCTATTTAACTCCTCCACTCACGGTTAATGTTGCATGTGTTCTACAGGTATGTTCAACACGCCGGGTATGCAGAGCCTGATGTCCCAGATGTCCCAGAACCCTCAACTGATGCAGAACATGATGCAGGCGCCATACATGCAGGCCATGCTTCAAACAATGTCCACCAATCCTGAACTAGCTCAACAGGTACTAGCGTCAAACATGGGCATATGCCAACACACCCCAGTTGGCTTCAGTCTGTTGAATATTTGATTAACATTTGAAGAACATGTTGTTTATGCCTTATGCTGACTGGATGCTTATATGAAACTGGAAAAATAGACAAGGACTATTAAAACATTAAAAAGTGCAACTTTGAAAGTGATGGATAAAGCTCCCCAAAACACATGCAACTGAACTGCACTCTTGGAAGTTGAAAATGCGACTTTTTTGAATACTTTTATCTCTTATTATCTGTGTGAGAACTCAATAGTGATGCATGGTATAGATACAGTATATAAAGTGTTTGCTTCCAACGTGTGATTTCACACCAATGGGCTGATATGTTTCTTTATAAAATTTCAGATTATTGGAAGCAACCCGATGTTTCAAGGCAACCCCCAGTTACAAGAACATTTTAGAATGTACCTTCCACAACTCCTTAACCAGGTATATCTGAGATGTATTCCTAAAATGAACAATAGCATCAGATGTGTGGAGCCTGTGATCCAGTTCCATTAGATCTTGGTAGTGACTTACTCATAATCAACAAAACAATGAGAAACTAATGTACCATGGCCCAGGTTCCACAGTGACTGCATATGAGTGTCATTGGTTGACAGGATCAAAGTGAAATGTCAGATTAAAAGAAGCTAGAGACATTAAACATGGCAAAGTTAGATTCTAGAAGGATCAATCTGCTGGCCACCTAATTGTTGAAAGAAGTCCAGAAAGACAACCAGTATGTTCATATCAACAGTTTTATATGGCAATATTATGTGAGAGTATAGATAATTGATGAATTTATTAGGCTTCAAATCATGACAAGCCCTCTAGCGTGTCTAATGGTAGGGTGTCCGCCTGGATAGCAGAAGGTCTGGGGTTTGACCACAAGCCGCGTCATACCGAAAGACGCTAAAAGATGGTACTTGTTGTGACCCTGTCTGGGTCAGTATACTGTGTCTGAGTGAGGCATTCATGTTAATCTGAGGCATGGTATCTCAGTGGGCTAGCACTACAAATCGGCATCAGTCCAGACTAGTACAAGCAGCCACCCATGCATAGCGCCCCCACCTCCCCCCCCCCAACACTCACACAAACACACACACACACACACAGAGCGTTATAAGTGCAATAATCTTGGACACGACGTTGCACCATCTCACCTCACCCCTCATGTACATTAGCCAAAGGAGCAGGAGTGTTTGGTTGACCCTTTCATTGGCCATGCCAACATGTTTGTTTCCTTCCACTACATGGACCCATTATGTGAGGCCCTTCTTGATGTTGGTGAAATACGGCGAGGTGTGTGAAATCTTGATCCCTCACTCATCAGTCCAGCAGTGCAGTTTGTTGATTGTTGTTTCAGATGCAGAACCCTGAGATGCAGACCATGATGACCAACCCACGGGCCATGTCAGCCATCATGCAGATTCAGCAGGGTCTGCAGCAGCTGCAGAATGAGTCACCAGGGGCCTTCCCAGGGTAGGGGGAGATAACTCTAGGAATTACTTGCTTTGTTTGTTTGTTGTTAACTCCACACTCAGCAGTTTTCCAGTTTTATGACAGCAGTTGTAAATAATATGGACCGGTCAATACTCTGATTGACATCATGGGCATTTATCTACGCAATTGGGATGCTATTACATAGTATAAACCAAGCTAGCAAGCCTGACCACCCGATCTTTTTAGTTGTTTACTGGACAGCACATTGCCCATATGATATCTTTTTCTTCCCAAGCATTTCGGCTAGAGCATTACACAAAGGTACCTATTATACATATATAACACTAAGATTGCCTCAATATCTGGGATAGAAATTAGTTTGTCAGGCCCTGTGACTTGGCTGATTGCATTTGAAAATATTGTTGGCTATGCTTTCATTCGCTAAGATCCTTGAAAGAACTGGTATATTGCCTTCTGCTGAACATGACTGCAGCTTTAAACAACCTTCACTCTGTTGTATTTCAGTCTTGTTGGCATGCCGAACCTAGCGGGTGTCAGCACCCCCACCACAAGTACTGCCACTTCCACCACCTCCCCTACCTCCCCCTCCACGGCAACAACAACAGCGGGGACCACAACAACTCCCGCTTCACCCATAGGAGCGGGGACGGGGACGGCGCCAGACCCGGGCAACCCAGACCAGTTTAATAATATGATGGCTCAAATGATGCAGATGATGGTCGGGGGTCAGATGGTGGGTGCCAAGCTTGACTGTCACTGTTCACTTCATTGCCAGATTCTCCTCAGTCCATTATTTGCTACTTGAGTTTATTAATGTTCCCTGTGGTGGTTCCAGGATGCAATCTGCAATAAATCCCAGACAAATGAGAATTGGGTGGTCACATTGTTGACCTGGCTGCTTATTTGTGATTCTACAACATCGGACATAAAATACAGACTTGTTAAATATTATGAAATAAGCTAAAGTTTTGTTTCACGAGAACATGGATGATGCCCAGGGCACCGTTCTATTAGTGCTACGACTATCATAAGCCACTGTTAAAGTATGGGAGGTATGATCACCTCAGCGCTAAGATCGCTTTGTGGAAATCTGGTCAGAAGCACACAAGAAGCCTAAAGCTTTTGCTTGATTTTCTTTTATAAAAAATTCACAGTTCAGATGGGCATTAAACCCAACATTCTCTCAGTTGTTGAAAAGAAATAATTCTCAATTGTCAATCATATGAACATTTCAACGTCTTCTTCTCAATGTCCTGGGGGCACGGGTGGCCCAGTCGTCTAAGGCGCCGCGATTCGCTGTGCAGAGTTGTGTCCCTTGGGCACGCCGGAAACCTATGATTGTGGGTTCGAATCCCGGTTCGCCCCGATTATGTTTCTAGGTTTGTCAGCACCATACCCGTGCTCGTGGGTTTCACCAAACTGGTAAACGTCTAAGACCTGCATCACTTCGGGCTTTCCTCCCACATTAAGCTGACACGCCGCGATATAACTGGAATACTGTTAAAAGCGGCGTTAAACCCAACTCACTCACTCACTCACACTCTCAATGTCCTCATTCCTTTACAACATCAAGGGACACAATACAACACCATTCTCAGCCATTTTTGATATTGGGATCTGTTATTGCATATGACCATTTGATTAGCAGGGGGCAATGGTTTTCTGACTTGTCACAGCTGTGTGGGGTGGTATATGGACATGACACAGCTATGTGGGGTGGTATATGGACATGGCACAGCTGTGTGGTGTGGTATATAGACATGATGGCTGTATGGTGTGGTGTATGGGCATGACACAGCTGTGAGGGTCGGAAATTGGACATGACCCAGCTATGTGGAGTGGTATATGGACATGCCATCTGTGTAGGGAGGTATATGAATATGACAGCTGTGTGGTATATGAACATGACAGCTGTGTGGTGTGGTATATGGACAAGACAGCTGTGTGAGGTGGTATATGGACATGGCACAGCTGTGTGGGATGGTATATGGGCATGACACAGCTGTGTGGGTGGTATATGGACATGACAGCTGTATGGTGTCATATATGTGCATGACACAGCTGTGTGGGGTGGAAATTGGATATGAAACAGCTGTGTTGGGTGGTATATGGATATGACAGCTGTGTGTTGTGGTATATGGACATGACAGCTATGTAGTGTTGTGCATGGACATGACAGCTGTATGGGGAGGTATATGGATATGACAGCTGTGTGGGGTGGTATATGGACATTGCAGCTGTATAGTGTGTTTTATGGACATGATACAGCTGTGTGGTGTGGTTTATGGACATGACAGCTCTGTAGGGTGGTATATTGACATGACGGCTGTATGATTTAGTATGTGGACATGGCAACTGTGTTGGGTGTTATATGGATATGAGAGCTGTGTTGGGTGGTATATGAATATGACAGCTGTGTTGGATGGTATATGGACATGACACAGCTGTGTGGGGTGGTATATAGACATGATGGCTGTATGGGGTGGTGTATGGACATTACAGCCGTGTGTAGGGTAGTATATGGACATGACAGATATGTAGGGTGGTATATGGACATGACAGCTGTATGGGGAGATATATGGACATGACAGCTGTCGGGTGGTACTGTAAACAGGGAATTTTTTGCGACCGTTTTATTATTGCGAGTTTTGCGAACGAGACTCAATCGCAAAATGACGGCTGTATGGTGTGGTATATAGACATGACAGCTGTGTGGCATGGTATATGGACATGACACAGCTGTATGGGGTGGTATATGGACATGACAGCTGTATCGTGTGGTATATGGATATGACACAGCTATGTCGGGTGGTATATGGACATGACAGCTGTGCGACATGGTATATGGACATGACACAGCTGTATGGGGAGGTATATGCACATGACACAGCTGTATGGGGAGGTATATGGACATGACAACTGTAGGTTGGTATACAGACATAACACAGCTGTGTGGGCTGGTATATGGACATGACACAGCTGTGTGGGAAGGTATATGGATATGACACAGCTGTTTTGGGTGGTATTGTTCTCTGACATGACCAAGCTGTATGGGTGAGTATATGGTTCTGACATGACACAGCTGTGTTTCGTGATGTATTGACATGGTAGCTATGTGGGGTGGTATATGAACATGACAGCTGTTTAGGGTGGTATATGGACAAGACAGCTGTTTAGGGTGGTATATGGACATGACAGCTGTTTAGGGTGGTATATGGACATGACAGCTGTTTAGGGTGGTATTGTTCTCTGACATGACACAGCTGTATGGGGTGGTGTCCTCACTTTATTTTCATAATTTGAAGAATGTCTGCAGTTGAACTTATCCTTACTTTTCCTTCATGTAGAACCAGGCTCCAGATCTGAGATACGCATCCCAGCTAGAACAGTTAACATCTATGGGCTTTGTAGATAGAGAGGCAAACATACGAGGTAAGTAACATCCATGGGTTATGTAGATCAGGAAACTAAAGAAAGGTTGAGAAATCACCTACACAATATACAGCCATTTTACCCCACAGTGTGGATCCATGCTCTCCACTATTGGTCAGTTTGTTCAGTCATTAATATCCAGAACAGGTAGCTGTTACATCGGTTTACATCACAAGAATACACCATACCATCACACCCTGTCCACTGTCTCTATGGAAGTGATGGAAGGCCCACTGTCTCTATGGAAGTAATGGAAGGCTCACTTGTTCTATGGAAGTGATGGAAGGCCCACTTGCTCTATGGAAGTGATGGAAGGCCCACATGCTCTATGGAAGTGATGGAAGGCCCACTTGCTCTATGGAAGTGATGGAAGGCCCACTTGCTCTATGGAATTTATGGAAGGCCCATTTGCTCTATGGAAGTGATGGAAGGCCCACTGTCTCTATGGAAGTGATGGAAGGCCCACATGCTCTATGGAAGTGATGGAAGGCCCACTTGTTCTATGGAAGTGATGGACGGCCCACATGCTCTATGGAAGTGATGGAAGGCCCACATGCTCTATGGAAGTGATGGAAGGCCCACTTGCTCTATGGAAGTGATGGAAGGCCCCCTTGCTCTATGGAAGTGATGAAAGGCCCACATGCTCTATGGAATTGATGGAAGGCCCACTTGCTCAATGGAAGTGATGGAAGGCCCACTTGCTCTATGGAATTTATGGAAGGCCCACTTGCTCTATGGAAGTGATGGAGAGCTTGATACTCTACCCACTTGCTCTATGGACTGATGGAGAGCTTGATACTCTGTCCACTTGATCTGTGGAAGTAATGGAAGGCCCACTTGCTCTATTGAAATGATGGAGAGCTTGATACTCTACCCACTTGCTCTATGGACTGATGGAGAGCTTGATACTCTGTCCACTTGATCTTTTGAAGTGATGGAAGGCCTACTTGCTCTATTGAAGTGATGGAAGGCCCACTGTCTCTATGGAAGTGATGGAAGGCCCACTTGCTCTATGGGAGTGATGGAAGGCCCACTTGTTCTATGGAAGTGATGGACGGCCCTCATGCTCTATGGAAGTGATGGAAGGCCCACTTGCTCTATGGAAGTGATGGAAGGCCCACTTGCTCTATGGAATTTATGGAAGGCCCACTTGCTCTATGGAAGTGATGGAGAGCTTGATACTCTACCAACTTTCTCTATGCACTGATGGAGAGCTTGATACTCTGTCCACTTGATCTGTGGAAGTGATTGAAGGCCCACTTGCTCTATTGAAATGATGGAGAGCTTGATACTCTACCCACTTGCTCTATGGACTGATGGAGAGCTTGATACTCTGTCCACTTGATCTTTTGAAGTGATGGAAGGCCTACTTGCTCTATTGAAGTGATGGAAGGCCCACTTGCTCTATTGAAATGATGGAGAGCTTGATACTCTACCCACTTGCTCTATGGACTGATGGAGAGCTTGATACTCTGTCCACTTGACCTTTTGAAGTGATGGAAGGCCTACTTGCTCTATTGAAGTGATGGAAGGCCCACTTGCTCTATGGACTGATGGAGAGCTTGATACTCTACCCACTTGCTCTATGGACTGATGGAGAGCTTGATACTCTGTCCACTTGATCTTTTGAAGTGATGGAAGGCCCACTTGCTCTATTGAAATGATGGAGAGCTTGATACTCTACCCACTTGCTCTATGGACTGATGGAGAGCTTGATACTCTGTCCACTTGACCTTTTGAAGTGATGGAAGGCCTACTTGCTCTATTGAAGTGATGGAAGGCCCACTTGCTCTATGGACTGATGGAGAGCTTGATACTCTACCCACTTGCTCTATGGACTGATGGAGAGCTTGATACTCTGTCCACTTGATCTTTTGAAGTGATGGAAGGCCCACTTGCTCTATTGAAATGATGGAGAGCTTGATACTCTACCCACTTGCTCTATGGACTGATGGAGAGCTTGATACTCTACCCACTTGCTCTATGGACTGATGGAGAGCTTGATACTCTGTCCACTTGATCTTTTGAAGTGATGGAAGGCCTACTTGCTCTATTGAAATGATGGAGAGCTTGATACTCTACCCACTTGCTCTATGGACTGATGGAGAGCTTGATACTCTGTCCACTTGATCTTTTGAAGTGATGGAAGGCCCACTTGCTCTATGGACTGATGGAGAGCTTGATACTCTACCCACTTGCTCTATGGAAGTGATGGAAGGCCCACATGCTCTATGGAAGTGATGGAAGGCCCACTTGCTCTATGGAAGTGATGGGGAGCTTGATACTCTGTCCACTTGCTCTGTGGAAGTGATGGAGGCTTGTACCCTGCCCAATTGCTATATGGAAGTGATGTAGGGCTTGACACCACGCCTGCTTGCTCTATGGAAGTGATGGCAATCACACTGATTTGCAAGAGACATTTTGCATGGGACATTTCATCTTCCTGGGGCAACTGACTATAAAAGTCCAGTTCCCACCCTTGCCGAACCATGCTGGAATTTACAAGCTTGATCATAGTGCCACCAGTGGCTATTGTGAGTCATGCCCCTTCTATGTCCCTCTTATTGAGCAATCGGATTCCTTTACTCATATCACTTGCTTTTGCTTCAAACAAATTGCGGCACCCAGTCAAGACGATCTGATCAATAATCAAGATCTATATTGTAATAAAACTGGTCTTTCCCCACAAAGTGCATCAAATCACTTGGGCACCTTGATTAAAAACATGGAAAGATTTGCAGAATATCTAGTCGCGCAGTTCACATGATTTGCAAATCTTGCAGTCGACCAAAATCTGCACTTTGAAATCCAAGTTGTTTACGAACCGAATGTCTAGGTTGTTTGGTTTGGACTATGTATAGAAATAGTTAGTCCAGCCAAATGTAACTCCAGAATTCCAGCCTAGTTCTGCAATGGTGGAAACGGGACTTATTTTGTCAGTAAGCGCCCTTGCCTCGGGAAGAAGGGGATATTTAGATGATGTTTTAAACCTTTTATAGGGCATATATCATTACCATATTGGTATAAACTCTTTAGAACATTTTGAATAGTATCAGTTAATGTGGTAGTAAATGAACCGATCTGAAAACCTGAATGTACACTATGATGACTGATTGTATTGTACTTCTTTTCAGCGTTGACGGCTACCCTTGGTGATGTGAATGCAGCCATTGATAGGCTTCTACAACAAAGATGATGTGGTTCAGATAAAAGAAAAACTGTGCTTTAAGAGGATTTCTTTGTTGTGAAAATAAGGAAAAAAAGAATATGCCATCACATGGCTTGGAAAAAGTGACATTCAGTGGACTATGATAGGTACTGATTTTGTGTATTAGTTGGCAAATTTACTATGGATCATAATGAGAACCTTGGTAACCAAACTGCCAAGGAAAAAGGGGAGATTTTTTTACCTGTGCAGGTTAATAAATGATTTGTGCATGTATATATTTATATACATCTGGTACAATTGTACATTTTTCTTATTTCACAGTATCTTATATTTGGATGAAAAATTAAGAATGTGCAGATAAGTGAAACTCTATTCTGTTGCTTTTGTTTAAGCTCTGTGAGACCATTTTAACATTTAATTTAATTTCATACATTCTATGATGATTTTAAGAAAAGAGATTGACAACAGACAAACATGTACTTGAAAACTGTGATATTGTGATGCCCCAAGGGAAGGATACAATTAAGCAGTAAAATTCAAGTAGAATTGTACTTTGGAGGCAAAGCAGGATTAATAAGTTGCATCAATCAAATACATTACCAGCCATGATGACTCAGCCAGTAGATGACAGAAGGGTTTATGTACAACAGTTAGTGACCATTTCAAGAATAGCGTTGAAATTTATCAGCATTTCAATGAGCGATGTTGAATGTGTAAGTTATTTGTTATGTACATGAAAATATGTTGGTTGCAGATAAACAGAGTTTACACTTGAAACACCAGATCTGTGCTTACGTCTTTGTTTTCTTCTTTTAATTTCACTATATTCCAGGTTTACTCCTGGATCGGTTTTTCTTCACGAATTTCATATAAGTTGGCAATTATTGTTAGGTTACTGATTTATATATTTTAAGGTTGAATCCCTCAGAATATAATTTTCTCCACTTGACTGGCCACATTCACTTGTTTTCATACTGTCATTTAGTTAATATTGAAACCTTGTAACAATCCTTTAACATGGTGTTCTGGTTAAGACGATATGACATGACAGTCCTGGCCGAATCCTAGGCTCATCATGCCTCATACTATAGAAGACTTGATATTCTAATGATGGTGCCCAAGGCTTAGGTTAAGAAGGCTTCACTGTATTTTCAAAATTATGTTATTCTCAGTATTGAAGACAGTAGTTGTGTGTTCAGCATGTTCAGGGCGTAAATATCTTGTTGAGAATGATCATTAAGAATGGAAGAGATTTCATGTGTACATAGCTGTATCTTTGATGCTCAGGCTCAGTATTTGTAGGTGTTAAAGGGTATGTTAATAGGTTGTTAAAGCCATTATTAACATAAACATTTATTTGTTTGACATTTTCCAATTTGTCAGATTTTTTAATCAAAACGTATTCTCTATATAAAAGCTTAAAATATTATGTGTTACTACTGCAGCAGCTACTGTTGTTTTGTCAAAAAGACAGAATAAATGTTTTGTGGTACATGGGAGACTGGATTCCGTGTTGATGTTTCAGGAAGTATTGTTACTCCGCTCTGAGACAAACATTGCACAAGCCCTTGAGACATAAAATGAAATACGACAGGGTGGACTGGTTCCTGGATAGTAACCAGTAAATGTTATAATAATTCAGTTATGGATATTTATCTTGCATGAAATTATCACAATTTTGTAAACAGCCAAATGCATCACTGCATCTTGCTGTTTTGCATGTTCACAGCGCTTCTATATTTATAACAAGGACCCAGTCATCCAAGGCAGTGGTGATTTCACCTCTATTCAACCCTTTTTTCAGGTGGGATTGAATATAGCTTCATCATTTGGGGGGAAACTTAGTATTTAAGTTTTCAGGGGGCACAGGCCCGGTTATCAAAGGTGATATAACTGAAATACTGTCATCGCTGCTTTTAATCAAACTCGCTAATTTCAATTATTCAAAACGGTATCTGGAATTGGTTTCCATTTGATTGCTGAGGAGTTCCTTGGTTTGTTGATGTACTGCCAGTTTCATTTCACAGTTACATTCTTCATGGGCTCTGAGGCCGATAGGCCAGAAAATAATATCCCTGTTTTGTGTTCCATTGTGGAAAGTGTCTCCCCCAATCAAGACGTACTGATTTCTGTGTTGTGATTATTCACTTTGTACTCACAATAAATTAACATACACCTTTGTATCATTATCATCATCTGTTAATTTTCATCCTTGGAATGAGTTGAAGCAGCTGAGGTAAAACATATGATTGAGAGTCACTGTGAAGGTGACCACTTCTGGAAAAGAAAGGGCATGTTTTGTGAAGAGACAGAATGTTTGGTTTGCACATATGCCATGTGATTACATAAACTATTTACATTATTAACCCACCACTTGTGAAGTTAATGCTTAATGAGTTATGATATTGTTATCAATGATCATATCACCAAATCTGCTTTTACATTTTGGAGTGACAGTTTTGACAATTGACGAACCATATAGTTAGACTTGCAAATGATATGAATTGTGAAAAGGGGCCTGTGCTTTGAAAAATATATTCTTTTGATATTGGTTGAAACCTTTATGATAAAAGATAAAAGCAAAACTGACCCATTAACATGTATGATTTTCAATGTTTCACATATTGAATACCTAAATGACTTGAGGCAAAAATCTCGTTTGGGGTGAATAAGGTTTTTAAAAATAGGAACCAAGCAAATGTGTAAGAAAATTTTACAGTATTTATAATGTCTATTATTTTTGATGAGTCAGCTTTATATCCTTTCATGTCAATACTTATGAAATGCAATTTCTACCAATACTGCAAAAAGGAATAAAGAAAGTACTGGTCATTTTTTAATAGAAATTTTCAGCCTAAAAAATTGTGCTTGCCCTTTCTCTTCACTTCTGCGCCACTCAGGACATTCTCATATGTGCAACAAGAAAGAATTCTAATGATTGTTTTGGGGGCATTTTGTTAAAATTAGTACTTATTTTTTTATTATATTATTGATTTTTAAATTTATTATTTTGCACAAATAAATACATTATCCTGATTTTTGCAGCAGAGTGAGGTTAAGATTGTAGTTTACTTAGATGACTGGAATTTCCTTTGTCTCTAGGTCACTACAGGATCTAGTCCGGGCACTTGTACTCTTTACAGAAATTAGTTCTGTATTTAGGAAAATATATGTCCACTTTGATGGATGTTTGCTTATGAATTTATATCAATACTCAGGAAAGTGGATTTGGCAAGACTGGTATTGTTTGCAGGTGCTAATATACAGTTATGAAACTGGTATGGTCATCTGTCACCTATAAATGAGTGTTCATTGTTGGACATCAACCAATGTATATTACTCAAAACAAGTTATAGTACACCCACAATTGGCAGGCTGTGTTGCAATACCCGCAGCCATGACAGATTAACTATAGCTATATGAAAGAAATCAGGTGTTCTTTAACTTCCTTTGAGTAGTATATAACACCAATGGTTGTATTGGAAGGTCAAGTTGTACTAGATTCCCCAGAAGGCCAAAATCATTGATTGTGTCGTGGCTTATGACCCCAACAAACCTGTTGTGATGGATGTGTCTTTCTAGGCCTACTTTTCACTTCTCCTATGTATTGTGTGAGAGGTACAAGAACCTTCCCACATGCATTACCCAATACACTTAATATCGTCTCCCCCATGGTATTACCAAGTATTACCATGCATCAGTGTTTATATAAGGTATTCTCAACTAAGCAGATAGGAGCATTCATCTGTCATTATTTCCCTCAGACAAATACCGGTATATATGTTGTCAGTCTGTACTGCAGTCGATTTCATCAAGAGTTTTCTTGCTGTTTTGGAAATAAATGGCTTGAATAATCACCTAGTGTGGTGTTTTATTTGCATGAAAGATATATGAAACTGAAGGCCATGCATTTAATAAGGAGAAACGACATAAAAGTGACAACAGCAAATACCTTGACACCTGTCATCGCTAAATAGATATGGTTTGGGTACTATAACGGTTCAATCCCATTTTGTCTGAATATAGGTTCCAAGCAGCCTAAGCTTGTAAGAGGCAGGTGGTGGCATCCCAACTGATTAATGGATCGATGTTAGATGATATCAATCACTGGATTGTCTGGCCCAGACTTGATTATTTACAGCATGCCGTCACATTACTAGAACATTGCTGAGTGTGGCCTAAAAAAACAAGCAAGTCTAGATATTCAGACAAGGCCAGACATTTATACAAACGGATCTAATAAAGCAAAGGTTTTAAGTCTTACATCAGAAAGTGGGAGTACCAGTCGTGGTAGCGCTAAGATCGGTTTTGGAATTGGGCCGATATAAGTCTTTACTTTATCCATTGATTTCAAAGAAAATCAATTTCAGGCAGTTTCTTACTCGTATGTCCGCGATTGTCCGGAAAACCACCAACATCCGCATCTACCTGTTACATACAACCGAACAACGTCATATATAAGTTTGTTCTCAGGAAATATCCGTTTTAACATGTCTCCAAAAGACGGATTGCTTATCACTTTGTGAAAGTATAACCCTCAATAACGACCGTCTTGTTGGTTTCCGGGTTAGAATTGCTACTAGCAACCTGTTCTTGTAAGAGGCGACGATTGTTTGTTGTTTAACGCCGCTCTCAGCAATATTCCACCTATTTGACGGCTCTCTGTAAACAATCGAGTCTGGATCCAGTGATTGACATGAGCATCGATCTCCGTAACTCGACTCTAACGACAAGCATGGGTTACTGAAGACCAATTCTAACCGGCATCTTCATGGGCTACATTCGACGTTATGGATCGGGTTGTCAGACTCGGGGACTTTGTTGATTGCGTGTCATCGTATCCTGACGGTGTAGATAGTTGTTCATAATACCAATCACTGTATTGTACCGTCCAGAATTATTTACAGGTGGAAGCGTTAAGAACACACACATTCCAACCATGGCATTCGATTTTTTAGGTCACCCTCATCTGTATGTGTTCAGCCGAATCTGATGTCAGTTCGTGGACCCTCAACGCAATCATACACTGGAATATACTATCATGGTCGTTGGCTTAAGCTTGCAGAAAGACTAGATGATCAAAATATCTATTATTAATCCAGACTTTGAACTTTACCTGTCCTTTACAGCCTGTAATTAGGGAACGTCAGATTCAGTGAATGTCGTATTTTCAGTTAAGACCATGGGTACGAGACCGCCTCCGTGGTCTTGTGGTAGATCGTCCGCCCGGAGAGCGGAAGGTCTGGGGTTCGTTACCCGGCCGCGTCATACTAAAAGACGTTAAAAGTTGGTACTTGTTGTTAGCCTGTCTGGCGCTCGGCATTAAAGGGCTAAAACAAGGACTGGTCGGCTCGGAGTCAGTATACTGTGTCTGAGTGGGATATTCATGTTAATCTGGGGCATGGTATCTCAGTGTGCTAGCACTATAAATCGGCATCAGTCCGGACTAGTACAAGCAGTCACACATACGTGCATGCACGTCGCTATATAAGTGCGATAATCTTGGACGCGACGTACAACCCAATTTCACCTCACCCCACCACGGGTATGATATTCAATTTATTATATGTATACTTGGGAAAAGGTGATATTTAAGTCAAGAATGGTGTTCCATCGTAAGTATGTGACCGTTTGTCTCTGACGTGGCTTACACGTCCAGCATGCCACTCCAATGTTTAATCAGACATCAAATTAGTGTACTGAAACCTTGCAATGTTTAATCAGACATCAAATTAGTGTACTGAAACCTTGCAATGTTTAATCAATCCTTATTAACATAGAGAATATCAGGGGCGCAAAGATGGCAAATAACCTGAACGTATTCTACAGGGTTGTCCTTGAACAGTATCGGGCTTTAACTGGCCTGCCATGACACAATAATCTGCCGATTCATAAGAAAACATGTCTAAACCAATGCTGTGAAGGGCGTTCCATGATCAGGACGACCTCCGGTGACGTCACAGCGGCGTGAAGACAGGGAACTTCTTCTATTAGTACGACGACAACCATTTGCAAAGATTCCCGCCCTGGAACGACAATGACTACCAAATCGACGTCTGGCCTCCTCGAGGAACCGCTTGAGAGCAGCAGGAAAGGCGTCCAGGAGAGTCAGGCGTTCCGTTTGTCATGGTGTTTATCCCTTGGAAACTGAGGATCTGGTGGAAAATCCATTGGTCGGACGAAAGCAGGTACCTGCACCATGTCACGGATGGACGACTAGGGGTTTGGAGGCACAGGAATACGGCCTGTACACCCAGGCAACAACTTCAGGCCACCTGTCCCTGATGGTGCAGGCTCGCTAAAGATGTGGGGGTGTATCACACGATTGCAAACTGAACCCAGTCACCATACAAAGCAACCTCATAGGTTTGTTTGTTTATTGCTTAACGCCGCACTCAGCAATGTTCCAGATATATGACGGTGGTCTGTAAATGGTCGTGACCAGACAATCCAGTGATTTACACCATGAGTATCAATCCACGCAACTTTGCTACGATGATACACATCACCCAAGTCAGCGAGGCTGACCACCCTATCAAATTAGTCGCCTCTTACGACAAGCATAGTCACCTTTTACGGCGAGCATTGGTTACTGAAGACCTATTCCACCCCGGATCTTCACGGGTAGCAACCTCACAGGTAAAAATTACATCCGACAGGTCCTGGAACCAGTTGTTGCCCTCCATTTCGACAACCACCCACTCGCCACAAGACCTCAGTAAATGCATGATAACGCCAGACCACATCGATCCCGGGCGATGGCAGCCTACCTCTAGAACAACGCTGTGACGACACTGCCTGGGCCTGCCAAGAGTGAATACGCTGGGGCACATTTTGGACAGTTTGAGCGTCGCATACAGGCTCTGGAAGCTCCTGTACAGAATGCGTGAATTGGAAGCAATCTTGCGTTGGGAGTGGCCGTTGCCCCTTCAACAGATCCGACGTCAGGCTGGAGAGATGAGACGCAGGGAGGAGGCCGTCATCCAGACACGTGGAGGGTTTTCTCGCTTTACTGAGCCTATGAACTACGGATGTCATCTACGGACACAAAGTGACCTTTACATCCAGATAGAGCCACCTGATGTCATCGTATGAACTCGGCCGCTCCATACTTAAAAGTGATGTTGCTTTGGGGTGAAGATATCACCGGTGGCTGTGCTACAATATGGTGATAATAATCTAACCTCAGCTAACAAATTTAACGATGGTGTTGTTTTTTTGTTAGAGGGTTGTTCTTACAGATCACGTTTGTTTATCCGATATCAGCATGTCAGTAATATCATTCCAGCACTTGTTTCATTAGTCATTGAACAAATATCTGGATGTGCTTAACCTTTTTTCCAGGTGTATAGTAACAATTCGGATGTCCACAACCGAATGAAAAGTATTTTGACAATAACGGTTGGGTCCTAAGTCCTGAAGTTGCGAACCTTGGTGGACTTATCCCATTTATTTGCAATTAGTCGGAAAACATTGCTTCTGGACCAGACCAATCTCATTAAAATCAGACCTTAGTTCTCGCTATTGCTAAACAAAGCGAAAACTGAGATCTGATTTTAATGAGATTGGGACCAGACAAACCAGGGATTTATAAAATGAGCAACGTACATTGTCATCCATTGTGAGTTCCTCTCACGACGGCATATGTTGCTGGGGACCTAGTACAGTAAACTACGGTTATAACGTGAGTGAGTGAGTGAGTGAGTATGGTTTTACGCCGCTTTTAGCAATATTCCAGCAATATCACGGCGGGGGACACCAGAAATGGGCTTCACACATATTACCCATGTCGGGAATCGAACCCGGGTCTTCGGCGTGACGAGCGAACGCTTTAACCACTAGGCTACCCGACCGCCCCACGGTTATAACGAACTCAAAGGGACCACTAATTTAAATTCGTTATAAGCATATATGCAACATATATTCAGCAAATGGCCGGGAATAAAAACAACAACCCAGTTCGTTATATCCATCGGCTCGTTATAAGCGTATTCTCTGATCTGTAAATTATCGATCATGGGCCGTACAATCCATTGATCGATAGTGTAGGCAACGATCAAACACCATCGATCGGGGAACGATCCACCCAAGAGCAATTCATACTCCGCAGCCATTGTAATCAAAATTATGTGCACTACGAGGTCCTTAATCTAACCAACATAGCACACTATTCCTATAGAGAGACTCTCGATGATGTTCTGACGATCGATTCTAATCGATTATTGATCGGTTACCGTATAAAGATCCAATGACTGATTAAAAGTATACATAATCAGTGGTGAGGAAACATTATTATCAGATACTTATTTCAAAAAATTAACTTTTCATTCAATCTATATTTGCCATAGCCTACATAATTACAATATATACACATAAAGTTATTAACATTAGCAACATTATATGTTTTTTAAATATTTCTAGCCAGGGGTTATGTTTTTAAAAAAATGGAGGCAAGGGTTACGGGCGGAAGTTTTACCAAATGTTCATCTGATGTGTTTTTTGCCAACTTAAAAAATGTTTCTTCAAGTACGCATAAACTGTTAACTGCATTCAAATGCGCGGAAGTCTATAGGGAGGGGAGATAACTCTCAAATACGGAAGTACACAATGCTGACCGCTCAGGCTCACCGGAGACTAAGCTAAGAGGTCCCTTGCAGACAGGTATATGTATTTTTGTTGTGATCAACAATGCAGTGTCACACCTTATCAGCTAGATATAGATGATACTATATATTACAGTGATGTCAGTGTTATAATCACTGTCAGTAGTGTCATCAACTGCGTGTTGTCTTGACCGTGTCTTGACCACGGCTCAGTGGTTCCTGTCATCAGGGTCATCGTGGTCCGAACATGTATCAACCGGCCTGACGGTGAGTGTCCAGTGCGTGAAGAAACGGGAATTGGGTGGTCAGTGTGTGTCTCCAACGACATAACCGAGAGTCGCAATCACGTGATCGATGGTCATGTCTTGTTTTTCGGACCCCATCGCGGTACTATGATGACAATGTCAATGATCGTTCTTCGACCACTAGTACTGTTTGTGTGATCCAGACTTGTCTACTGTCTACTACTGTGGTAAATATTATGCAGGATGACTATCGATTACATGATTACACAGTACTCGCACACTACTAAAATAAAAGGGGCGGTCGGGTAGCCTAGTGGTTAAAGCGTTCGCTCGTCACGCAGAACACCCGGGTTCGATTCCCAACATGGGTACAATGTGTGAAGCCCATTTCTGGTGTCCCCCGCCGTGATATTGCTGGAATATTGCTAAAAGCGGCGTTAAACCATATTCACTCACTCACTCTAAAATAAAAAAGAAATATATTTAAACATTATATAGGTACTGCCATTTACTGTCATTTATGATGGGGAGAGGAGGGGGGATCATGGACAAATGTTACATGTTAGGAGGGGTTGTGGTGTTTGGTGTGTGTGTGGGGTGGGTGGGTGGGGGTAGGGTCAGCTAAATACTACCCTAAGATCAATCTCATTGATTGTAGGTTATGACTAGTCACTTGATACACAATAAAATGGAAAGTTTCATACTGTTTACATTTAATCTGATATTCCTTTATTTGGGGGAATTAATTTATTTATGTATTTATTGTTTGATCAGGGTCTTACGCGATGCTCTGAGACCTGCATCACTTCTAGGCTTTCCTCCCACATTAAGCTGACACGCCGTGATATAACTGGAATACTGTTAAAAGCGGCGTTAAACCAAACTCACTCACTCACTCTTACGCAACGCACAAATGTAGTGAATGGACGCAGAAAAAAAAATACTGTGTCCGAAGGGACGCATAATAATATTCATTGTAGCTACAGTGCATCAAAAGCAGTTATGGGTGTCTGTTATTTCATCCATCAATCTTGACCACTGTCCACATTATCATTGATTCATTCCAGGCTCTAAATTAATTATCTAAACGTACAGTACACTTCACCATTTCATGACTTTACAGGACCCTCATATTGCCTGCAAGGACCCTTAAAATTAATCATTTGGGGGTCCCCAGTACCCCCAACTTTCTAAGTGAAGGTAGAACCCTGTTTGATACTACGTGGGCTGGTGAATAGTTCTGAGTCTGACTAACTTTCTACCATGCCCCATATTGAAGTGAACTAGTCAATGTAGTACATTGTTTGAGTAGTTCATTGCAAGTGTATTTGGTCTGTTGAGGCCGTTTGTAAAGAAGTTACAGTCATTTGAACTTGCTAGGGGTATAAATGGACACAGAAATAGAAAAGAAAGAGGACCGAGCAGTCGTCAAGTTTTTTACTTTTGAGAAAAGTATTCCTCAAGAAATTCATGACCGCATGTCACAAGTATATGGGGATAAGTGCCTAGCTATTCCACTGTTAAAGTTTGGGCAGCTATGTTTAAGGCTGGGAGAACAAGCCTTGATGATGACCCTAGGTATGGACGTCCCTCAACTTCAATCAATGAAGATTCAATCAACAAGATAGAAATACCTTTAAGATAGATGTATTACCATTGCTGAACTTGAGGTAGACACAGGTCCAAGCTCTAAGTCTTGTGTACATTGATCAGTCGGAAGGGGTGCTAATTGGGATTGTTCACCAGCCAATATATCAGCAAATATCGACGTGGGTGCTTATTAGAGCCAGGCGCTTATTACGTCGAATACGGTACCTCGCTCACAGTTTTACATTGTCAACCAAAACCTTGGAGGCGTGTTTTATTCTATACAAGGAGTTGGTGAGTATGTATGGTTTTACACAGCTTTAAGCAATCTTCCAGCAATATCGCAGCGGGGGACACCAGAAATCGGCTTCACTCATTTTATCCATATAGAGAATTGAACCCAGACTTTCGACATGATAAACTAACGATTTAACAACTGGGCTACCCCACCGCCCAAGAAAATGAACTGATCTGAAACCCTATGGAGTGCGTGGCTTTCACTGACATGATATTTATGTACTTACAGGAACCTGCAGAAATATGGCGACCCCCAGAGCTGACTACAGTGGTGACCTCGGTGGTGACCTCGGTGGTGACCTCAGTGTTGACTCCAGTGTTGACCCCGAGGACAACAGGCTACAAGCCGGGGGAGATGTATCTACCAGTGATATATATGACTTTGTTGTGTTTTACTCAGAGAGTGACAGGGAAGAGGCATTCAATATAACCAAACGGTTGGAGAGCCAGGGGAGGTTCAGGGGCTATCTGGACGACCGTGATGGCAAGGCGGGGGCTTCCGTCATTCAGAATTTAGATTTTGCCCTTGGTAACTGCAAGGCCTATATCATGCTTTTGTCCGAGTCATTCTTCCAGTGCAACTTTCAGACATTTGCCATGCATACCGGGCTACATAATTCTGTGTTGGATACATCTATTACAAACCGACTGCTGCCTCTACTGGTTGATATCGACTTTAATCGCATGCCAGCTTCATTAAGAATTATTCAAGGAATCCCCTATCAGGCAGAAAATGAATACTTTTGGGGAAAGTTGGAAAAAAGTTTGAATCATATCTGCAACACCTGACAAGAGTAGTAGTATGTGGACTGTTGAGACATCTTGTACATTTCGACGGATCTTGCTGAACCAAGGCTTGAGTGTTCATGGCAGTATCATGGAACTGTTCTGGGTGAACAAGACCTTCCAAATGGCGTGCTGGTTTTCTTGGGGAATTAGTCAGCAAAGAGCCAGAGTCACAGGAGACTAATCACAATTTTATTTACAAGAACAATTAACAATGAACAATTTACAATTTATACTTAGAAAATAACTGAGGGTGCCACAGAGAGTCGGTACAACACTCTGAGGGAGATAGTCTTATAGATTGCCTTGAACTATTTTATTTAAGTAAATCTGTCATCACCTATATTAGAATAACATTCAGCAATTACTTCAATTTAGACTCATTAAGGATTAGCCCCCATACAAGCTCGTCTATAGTGATACCATAATCTCTTTCCAAGCAACCAGTAAATATGTCAACAAGATTAGTGCCAGTCCAACAGGATAAACAGGATTAAGTATTCCCTTCTGTCTAGCCATTCATTAATCATAAGGCACACCCCATCGTGTATCAACCAATCATATTCTTTTTTATTGTTCTAATTTTTCTTAAGTACATACAGAAGCAATATGTTAGGCAGAAGGGGTTTGACGCTCTAACCAAGCAGACCTCTCTCCCACAGCCCAGAGGGTTGTACTGACTCTCTGCAGCATCCACAGCTATATTTTTAAGATATTGTTCATTGTTAATTGTTCTTGTAAATAAAATTGATTAGTCTTCTGTGACTCCTGCTCTTTGCTGACTAATCCCCTAAGAAAACCAGCATGCCATTTGGAAGGTTTTGTTCATCCTAACAGAATCATAATAGCAGACTGTGGACTGTCAACACCAGGGTTGGATTTAGACCTGAAGACATGTGGCTTCAATATGGAGTATATGTTTGTCTATTTTGATCAACTTAAAAAGTGAAGCCATTTGGAACTCACAGAAGTCAAATAAGCCTACTCCATGCATGACCTTTGTACGAACCCCACCTGCCTGAAATTGAATTAATGTGTGGACAAGATGGCCACCTTGCTGTGCCATGTTGCATGAGAAATGTTGCTGCTTGTGTGATGTTATTGAGGGCTTATAGCACTCTTTGGTGTCCCTCCTCATGAACTAGACTGTGATTAGTTGGTTAGAAGGGACTACACCGCATAGCGTTAGGACGTATTCATGATGATGGAGGTTTGTAGTGTATAACCAACCTTTAAAGTTTTGACACTGAATCTAGGAATGTTTCATAATAACAAATGCATAGTCTGTGAAATTATCTGTGGATTAGTTGGCCAGAACTCCTGATGTCTGAAGACTTCAACTGATTTGTTGCTAGGAAATACTGTGTTCGAGGTAATAAGCGCCCTGCTTTAAAAAGCGCCAACATTGATATTTGCTAATATACTGGCTAGTGAACAATCCCAAATAGCACCCCTTCTGATTGATCAATGTACACAAGTCTTATTTATTCGCTTATGATACACACTCGTGTGTTATATGCCCCCTTAATTATGGGAAATTAAATTATGGAAAAATATATCTGTCGTATATAAACATTTCAGGCTGTCAGCAAAAACCATATAAATTTACGATCTTTCAACTCTCTTTTTTTTCCCCCACCAAAATGATATTCTAATAAGTGCCCCCTATTTCTAATTTTGAGTGCGCTTATTATGTTGAATACGGTAACAGATTTCATAAATGGTGTCCAGGGATGCTGTCTCAGTTTGTCTGTGTTGACGGTATCTTAAGGGGCAGTGGAATGTCATGCTTTTTAGATTTTTTGTTTTGTTTTGTTGTTTAACGCTGCACTCAGCAATATTCCAGCTATATGACGGTGATCTGTAAATAATTGAGTCTGGACCACACAATCCAGTGATTAACATCATGAGCATGGGTCTACACAATTAGGATACGATGACATCCATCAACCAAGTCAGCGAGTCTGACTACCTGATCCCGTAAGTCGCCTCTTACGACAATCATGGGTTGCTGAAGACCAATTCTACCCCTGAATCTTCACGGGAACATGCTTTTTAGAGATGTTCTTATGTTATCACTATTTCTGTTGTTTGTGACCAACCAATTGATATTCTCAGTGGTGCCTGGGATTTTTATGGAGAATAGATATTTTTCCAGCTGCATCTGCAAAAGCAGATATTTTGTATATCATATTATGAGCCTTAATATTTTGTTATTAAAAAACTTCCTACATCAATGAATTTTTTGGTGGCAGACAGTTTTTCTTTTTTCAACAGTCTGATGCATAATTATTTTTTTATAAGCCTGTTCTAGAACAATATGTTTTTTGTTTTTTTATAAAACCCCAGTCCCCTCAGATTATCAAATGGTTGGTCCCTAAGGTTTCAGGTTCAGTTTTACCCCAGGGTGTCAGACAGTAGACAAACTATACCAGCAAAATGAGTATACCAGTTAAATACATATATGTGTGATACATAGCAGGAAAGAAAGGTTGGGGCACCACAAGTCTACTGCGCCATTATTTCTGAAAGATTGTTGATCAATGGATTTATACAAAAGTACCTTGTGGGATTAATGTGATGGTGTAGCCTTGTCATTCTTGGAACCCTATATTTCTGCTTTTTTTCTACTTTTCAGTCTTGATTTAGTATTTATTTCAATAGATTAATTATTTCTAATTCACTATTACATACCAAATTAATTCACTTGAATAATGTGACGTCATCTATCTGATGACTTTGTCCCATTAACCATGGACAAGTGATGCGAATTGTGTGAAACATTATTTACTGACAAGGAAAATAGAGCCATGTTTCAAAATGAGTGAAATGCCAGGATTTGTGAAATTCAAAAACTACTTGGCACTTGCATATCACACATGGACCACCTGCTGTATTTACAGTAAAATATGTTTATAAAATAAGTGGTCCTTTGAGTTTGTTATAACTGTAGTTTACTGTATGTCCTAGTACATGCTGCAATCAGGGCTACGTTTAAAGAATTTCAGATTTTCATCTCAAGCGTCAGTACATGCATTTGTATTTTAAAGAAATATATACCTTAAAACACCTGTTGTCATGATTTCAAATTGTAACAATCTTTGTATACCTCTTAATGTTGCATTTGTATTTTAAAGAAATATATACCTTAAAACACCTGTTGTCATGATTTCAAATTGTAACAATCTTTGTATACCTCTTAATGTTCATGAGTGCTGAAATAGTTTGACATGATTATGGTAAGTAAAGTAACACCATAAATATACTGTGTTTTCAATGTAGGGCCAGGTCACCTGTAGATGCAACTGTGATGAATTGAATTTACAACCTTGAGGTTAAATCTACAAGTAAGGGTATTACAAAATACAGATGATTTGTGAAAATAAAGGCATGTTTCATTTTTCAACTAAATACCAAAAATAACGACCTCACTAAACTTACTATATTAACTATGTTGGCAAACATGTGTTTGAACCTACAGGGAATGTATCTGGCACTATACAGTTGTACTAGTAGTATAAGGAGCCACACGCACGCACACACACACACACACACACTCACACACATGTACACACACACACCACTGTGTACGTGCAATAATCTTAAACGCGACATGAAACCCCAGTTCACATCACCTCACCTTCGCTCACTCACGTTGTGAAATAGTTGCATATTGTTTGATGCGCCGTAAAATATCTTATATACAAATGTGAAATAACCTTGTGTCAAACAATCTGGGGTAAACGGATCTCAGTCACGTGACAGCAACTGGTCGTGGAAAACAAGAGTTGGGATTTACATATAGACACCAACCGTATCCTACAGTTGTAAGGTAATACAAGGAGCGGCCTTAAAATATAACAGAACTTGGTAATTTATTAATTTGAAACTACTGAAAAAAATTCCTTATATTGATGAAATTCCTGTATTTATGACCATAAATTAATTATACATTTTTTTACTGTCCCCCTAACTGTAAATAAGCTAATAAATAAATTGCAAAAAAACAAACTCAATTTTGTCTTATAACTTGTACAGCCACGTATATTTTCCAATACTGACAATTGATTTTTCTGGGTGAATCTAGAGTAATAGAACTGTTATTATTTTTTTCCGAAACTAGTTTGTTTTCATACTTAAAAGACTGATTTGTACACCAACACGTGTACAAATTTAGGTGTGAATCTGACGAGAGATTTATGTTGAACTCAATATACAATTTTCTTATCATAATAACATACCGCATTTTCATTATACATTCATTACAGTGGCGACACTGGCAAACAAAACGTTAAGTTGAAAGTTGTATATCTTTTGATTCTGTATGTGAAAGAATTATACCAAATAATTTCCACCTTCCCGAGGCGAGAGGGTCCACCAGCCTTTTTACCAAAGTCGTGTTTCACGTAGAAACTAGGCTTTGATACAGGCTAGTGGATACACTTGCCTCTGGAAGATGAATATTTTCATGTTCAGACATTTATAAATAATTCAATATACAACAAATATCCGCTATCCAAGTTCCTTGTATATCTCTAATGCCTGCAATCCCCTCCCCGAAGAAATAATTACCTTAGTCGTTTTATATCTAATTTGTCTTCCACATGAAGGTATTAATTTTATATGAATGTCAATCCTTACACCAATATGTTTTTCATGATTAAGTCAATGTAAAAAGATACTTTATAGACTACAAACTCGACTGTGAAATCTTTATTTAGTTACTAACGAGAAAAATTGGAACCCATAAACCTCATATCTATTAATCTTGTGATAATTTTGTTATTGCAATTTGACATTTACGATCAAATTTTGATTAGACATTGCCTGCAGCTTCTCTTTGTAAAGAAACTCGCGACTTTTTTCTCCCAAATCAACATTTCGTTCTTGATTGGAATAAAGTAGTTTTGAGCAACGTACACCACCAGTCATAGAATAGCAGCTCATCAGTTCTGTTGTTGGATGGTTTCATTATATTAATCACATTTCCGTATTTCATCAGCTCCCGTATTAGCCCGAATGATGATTAACAGGCGATAGCGTGCTTTGTAATAACACACATCGGCGACCGAGAGAAACCTTTGCTTAATTACAGGTAAAATAGCAGAAATGATTATTATTTCCCGGACAACTGACGACGGCGATCCTGGTGCTTGACGTATGGACTAATCACATCTTTTT